ATTAGAAGAACAAAATATGTCCAAATATGAAAACAGTATTCCATACAGGGGGGAATAAGAGATTTGTAAAGGTTGAGAATGGAATTAGGCGTAAGAAAATGGCAAGCACAATAAAGAGAAGCAACCTTAGCAGGTGCTAATTTAGCAATTGATTGTATATATAGTTTCCATAAAAGGCCAATAATAAATGATAATCCAAGAAGACGTTAAGAACCATTAATGCAGATAAGAAACAAAGCAGGACCAAGGATAGAAACTTAAGGTACCCTAAAAGTTACTGGAAATGAAGAAGAGGGTTGGCTTTCGTGGATGAATTTAATAAAGCGGTTAGAAAGAAACAATTTAGTATCTCAAAAACTTATAGATACTCCAGATACATCATATGAAACAAGCTTATAGAAAAGACCAGCATGCAAAACTTTGCTAAAAGCTTTAGATATGTCAAGAGCAATAGCCCTAGACATTATGCTTCTATCTTTTAGTCAGAACTGTTAGCTAGTCAGCTCTAAGCAAGAAGAACTAAAATAGTATTGATATCTGACAAGTTATTTGACTCAAGATGGGATGTGAGAAATTTGTTGATCAAAGACTCAAAGACTTTGCAAATAACAGAAATAAGACTGATCGAACAGTAATTGAAGGGGTCAATTTTTTCTTCCAGGTTTTTGAAAACTAGAACAACATATGCCATTTTCCAGCAGGCAGGAAAACAAGACTCAATCAAGCACTTATTAAAGAGTTTAGAGAGAGTTCTGGAGAACTTTTTTGTAAGACTATAACATGAATGTTGTCTGGACCATAAGCCGTAGAAGACTTTAATTGAGATATGACTTTAGCAACGGAAGCTGGAGTGATTTGAATGTCTAACAATCGGTTAACTTGTTTAATTGGAATGGCCCTATTCAATAGTCAAATTAGAAGAAAAGTCTTTTGCAAATAGTTCTGCCTTGTAATTGGGAGAGGTAATAAAATCAGTCTTATGAATGAGAGATAGAATGCTATACCTACTGCTGTTGAAGATTTTCAAAAAGTCTCTAGAGCCTAATTTCTGAGATACGAAATTTAGTAAACAGAGAATAATGGAGCTTACTATCAGACAGCACCTTTTTACATTTTTTTTTTTTTTGCAAAAAAGTTGTTCTTTTAAAAAAGATGAAAAAAAACTTGTTTTGCAAATCAAGACTGAGTATATGAATTCAGGGAAGTAATGAGCTCAGTAAAGTAAAAAAAGATTACCTTTTTTGTTGCAGAATTTAGATATTGATTTTTCACAAATTTCCAGACAAGCTAAAGCTCTGGAACTTTTAGTTTTTTTTTTCAAGGAGTTTTTTTTTTTTAGAAAGAAAATTTTCACCTAATTACAAGAAATGGTTATTAAGAAAAATATTTTTAACATGCAGGTAAAAATTTGAATAAAAATTTAACATGAAAAAAAAACTTCGAATAGGCTGTCTTCAAAAACGATTTAATTGTTATCATAGACCTTATTTTTACGTCCAGATTTTATTGGCATATACTTTATATAAAAATTTTCTATCAGCAATCTAGAATATATAAACACAACTTTTTTTATTTTGGTTGAATTGGAGGTTTTTGCTCAAACTGCTTTTTCTAACTAAAATTTTTAAGTATGCCAATTTTTTATTTAAGCTTTTTATAACTGCAAACAAATTTTTTTTTATAAAAAAGCATCTGAACATATATACAACCTCATTAAAATTTTCAAATGTATCCTGATTTTACAAAAAAAAGATATGTCAGTTATTACTTGCTCTTTAACAAGACACAAAGCACAAGACACAGTATACTTATTTTATTGTTTTATTGTTGCTTCATACAGCTTTTTACAATAACAATTTAATACATTTTTAAAAATAAAACATGTCAGTATTATTTATTCTCAGTATGAATGGGGTAATAAATGAGCACAGCAGCATAATTAATTTTAAAGTGTTCCACACTGTTAACATTACAATGATAGACAATAAAAAACATACCAATTCAAATTTCAATATCACAAGTTTGCACAGTATGCGGAACTACTCATTATACATATTTCATATGTATCTTCTCTTCAGATCATTGCATCTTGTTTATTCTCTTCAGAAAAAACAAGATGTAATGTTCATTAGATAAATTTTTCATTGAGAAATTTAGTCAGTGTTTTTTAGTTTCAAGGTTATAATCATAATGCTATGTAATCTATGTAATTACTTCATAAGTAGACTAGTGGTAGGACACTTGGTTCAAAATCAAGAGACTTGAAGTTTAATCACACACTGTGTCTCTGGGAGTACTGCGCTCAACCTGTTTCTTGTTTAGCAAGGTTAATATTTTGAGAATTAGGGTTAAAAGGCAATCAAAATAAAGAATTCATAAAAAAAAAAAAAACTAGCCTCCTTGATTGTAGTGGTGGTCTGAAGTTATATATAAATTTAAAAAATATGTATTATTTAAATATATATTTATATGTTTTTAATATAAATTATTTTATCAGCTTGCTTTCTCAGATGCTTTTATTTGTAATTTTTTTCCATAAAAACTAAGGATAATGTAAAAAAACATATTTGTGCATCATTTATCAAAATAGGTTATCATATCTGTAGATTAATCTTTATTTTACTTTCACTAATTTTTACTAATAAAATAAACTCTATAAACTTCACATCACCTTATATGTCAATCTCATATATGTTTACATCACAATATATGTCAATGAATTTGGTATTCACAAAACGCAAAAACGGTGAAACAAAATTAAAAATCTCATGTCGCATTTACCAACATCAAAAAAATACATACGAAGGAAATTGGGATTACTCAGCCGTAGCGAAGCATTAAAAAAATTGTCATGGCAATTTTACATGGAACAATAAAAATACCTTAAAAGTAGAGGTTAATAATTTTAACAGAAAAGTGAGGGAAGCGCTTGAAATACAGCGCCATGAATGCTCACCTTCAGACGGCGGTCTAAATCAGGACGACGGAGGTTACGTCATAACTTCCTTTTAGAAACCTATGTTTCGATATTTAAACGAAAAGAAACTATTGCATTGATTTGTTTTTGTTTTGTATTTAACGGTTTTTTATATATATTTATATACTTGACAACGAGGGTATCAATAATCCCTTGAAATATTGTATAAAAATTAATAAAGAGTTACATCCATAATAGAAGTTTTAATTTAATTGTATTCACATGCGTATAATATGTCCTAATACATGTCTTTTTGGCCATCCACAAATTAAAATAATTTTTTTTACATCAATTCATGTGTGTATAAGTAGGGTGTGTTTATTTTTATTTTTTTTCAATTTTAAATATGGCATAAAAAATATGTTTTTACACAAGGAATTCAATTGGAATAAAATATGCAGAGGTCCCTCTTACAAAAATATGCAAACAAAAACTTTGAAAAAGTAACTTTAGGTGAATCACCTAAAGTTACCAAAATACTAAATGATCTTTCAGCTGATCATGAATACAGAATTGTAACAGCAATAAGATCTGAAATGTTACCTGAAAAATTATTAAACCTAGAAATAGGGTCTTTTTTTTCCAGATGGCTCACTAAAGCCAACCATTTTTGTAGAAAATTCCCAATCCACCGAATGTTGCATTAAGCAGATTTCTTTTTTATACAATTACAAGAATATAATAACTTATTTAAAATTTGTTAATGACTAAATCGTTTGTAATGTTTAATATAGGTTACAGAAGCTTGTGTAAAAACATATTTTCACGAGAAGCAAGTAGGATATATAAGAGCACAAGAAATCAGTTTTATGAGCACAAATAATGCAAAATATAACTAAGTTGAACTCACAAATTTTAAATAAAATTTATTAACTATTAATTGTTAATTACATATAGATTTTAATAAAGATATTTGTATTATTAACATTTATTATAAATGTATTAGTATATAATATACTGTTTGTTATCACAAAAGTGTTTGACTTATCATTAGTTTTAGAAAAAAAAGCGCACCCTACAATAGCATTCACCGCCTAAAATATGAAAGAACCGACTAATTTTTTTAAAGCAACCTTCACAAAAGCCCCATTATGTATTTATTTTTTTGTTTTTAACAGAATATGATATTTTCATAAAGTTCAACAGTTTATATTGAGTTTATCAAATAATTAAAAAGATTTTTTTTTTTAATTTATAATTTTTCTCTTTAATTATTTATATTTTAGTCATTTTTAGGTTGAAAACTAAGTGTTCCCTTCAACAAGACATTTTATTTTTATTTATTTTTTCAGATTCAAATTCCATGTGAAATTCTCCACAAAAATGAACTCTCCTTACTTTTAAAGTTTGACAAAAACTGGAAAAAAACAACAAACTTTACCGTAACATTCTTTGTCTAAAATATGGAAAAAGTGCTTGATTTTTGTTAAAATACCCTTCACAAAAACTCCTTTTCTGTATTTATTTTTATGACTTTTCGAACCAAATAATAAATTTTATTAAAATTCAACATAACATTTATTGAGTTGATCAAAAAAATTTTAGAATTTTTTTTTTAGTAGTTTTGCCCTGTTAATCACATTTTAGTCATTTTTCCTGTTCAAAACAATCCTGACCGACCCAGCAAGACATCTTAAAATTTTTTTTTTTACAGATTCGAAATCTCCATAAAATTTTTCACCAAAAGTAACCTTGCTATTTTTGAAATTGAAAAAAAAACAACAAAAAAACTACACATTGCAGTCTATAAGTGAATGGTTTTTTATTAAAATTTTAAATAATCAAATAGTAACTTGTGTTCCATGACAAATATAAACATAACTTCATCAATATCATCAAAATATCTTTTTTTTTAGGTAATACATTTATGGTGAGAGTTTGTTGAATAAAATTAAATTTAATATTTTACAATATTTGATTTTTAAAAGCTCAAAACAAAAAAACTTGAAATTTGTATTAGGTGTACTCAATACCAACATGATAGTATAATTTTGAAACTAAAAAAAATTTTGTCTCTACTTACCATCATCAGTAATATCCCTAACTTCAACCTTTCTAAGGTATATATGTTCTTTTAATCGAAATTCAGTTTGATTAAAACCTGTGATATTGTGTTTGTTCTGACAAAAAATATAAAATATTTACTTAAAAAAAATTTGTAAAAAAAAGGTTTTTTTATAAATAAAAAAAAAAGGTTCATTAAGTAGTTTTACTAGTTTAATAAAATAAATTTTCATTTTTTTTTTCCTTTTGATTTCATTTTTAGTAACCATAAAGAAAAGAAAAGAAAAGAAAAAAGATAAAAAAAACACTCACCACTTTGGCACATAACATCAGGTTATCAAAAAGAAATATTTTACGCTCAGATGCCTTTTTACCAATTCTAGTTAAAAATCCCTCCTTTAGAAGAACTGATACTACTTGACATAATGGTTTGCCTTCCCATCCCTCCAAGTTTTCTTGAATACATTCAATTTTGGCCATAGTATTTGTCTCATTTACCCCAATGTGACGTTCATAAAACACTTCATTCCTATAAAAAAAAAAAACAACTCACTCAGAGCACTTTGTTAATGCTACAATGAAGCACAAGCATATAAACATAACACTATCGCATCAGTGTCTCTGATCAGGACACTGATACTGAGGCACCAATGTAAGAACTCAAATAATGTGCACAAATGTTTTTTTTTAAATTAGATTAAAACTTCTATTCAGAAAAATCAAAAACTTTTACTTTTTATTTTTGTTTGTAATCATTGATTTTATTTGTTAATAACTTTCAGAACAAAAATGAAATTCCATTAAATTTATACAAAATCTCAACTTGGTGTTTGACAACAGATATGCCTCATCTTTTGAAAAATTTTTTACACCATAATCTTTTTCTATATTTTAAATTCCTTATATGTATTCATTACATATTCTTTTTTCTTTCAAATTTAAGTGACATTTTTTAATTAATTTGAATTAAAATCAATTACTTTTTTAAATTTGAATTAGAATCAATTACTTTTTTTTTTAATTATACAGCTTTTTGTGAACTTTAACTTTTTGTTACAGATAATTTTTTTTACAGATAACTTTTACAGATAATTTTAGTCAAAGTGAATTGTTAAAGATAAATTGAAAATAAAAAAATACAAGTACATGTTTATAATATTATACTAGTATAACTTGAATAAAGTAATTTTTAATATAATGGTGTTTTTTATAATTTAAATAATTGTACAAAGTTAATAAAAAATAGAATAAATTATACAAAAACAAACTTCTAAAGAAAAACAATACAGCATTTACTTATACTACTTTTAAAAAAAATTTACTTTTTAAAAATTGGACATTTGCTGGCTTACACTTTTCTTTTTGCATTTACTTTGATCGAATGTTTCATTGTTTTTTAATTCATTTTTTTATCAAACTTAATTTTATGTAAAAATTAAATTATTCTGTGTAAGAATAGAAAAAAACAAATTGCATAATTATGATTTTATTGCATAATTAATAGAAAAAAAAATTGTATTACAATCATGCCCACATAATTCTGAATGATACAATAATTATATTATTCAGACTTCTGTGGATGGCTAGTTCAAATTTCAAAATTGCTTTAAATTGCACACCAGTTGCTTCATATTCTTTTAACTGATTGGTGAAGGTCTTGATTTTTTTGGTTTTTTAGCTGTTTATTGAGATTAATTCAGAGCTTCTTGATTTTTTGCAAAAAAGGATGTTGATTGCACTAAAGGCAAACAAGGAGTGATGATTGTGATGGTGCAATCTTTGTTTGTACAATTATCTTATTTTGGTAAGAGATTTTCTTTTGTTGTAAATGTTTGATCAAATAATTTTGCAGCAGAAACTTGAATATCTTTTTTTAAAGCATGAAAAAAATGAGTTTTTATTTTTTTAAAAAATCGAATACCAACATACATTTCTATAATTTTCATATCTGGAGATTAACGCCTCTGCAAATTTAGAACTGATGTCAGTTTCTACAACCATCGATTTGCCAACTAACGTTTCAATAACAATGTCACACTCTGAAATTGTTGTATTTTGTTTTTCCAAACAAACTGCAGCAACAGGAATGTTTAACACAATGTCATTTAACATGTTTAGTTCCTTGAGTGTTTTTTTTACACCACCACCATCTTAAAAACACTGTTCCATCTAGCACAGTTGTCAAGCAGCAGCCTTTTGTCATGCAAAGATCAGTAAATTTCGAATTTTGTTTCTTTTAGAACTTTTATGGTAAAGTTTTAACCTCAAATACAAAAAATGTTTTCTATTTATTAATGAAAAAAAAAATCAAAGGGCTGTCCGGTGCCTCTTCAAACTTGGCGTTCAGATTAATTTGCCCCCTCCCCCTCTTCTTTTTGAAGTTAAGTATTTGTTCTGATTTATTTTAAATAATGGATTAAAAATTTTAGGAATACTACTTTTATTAGTTTTGATTTGTAGGTTATGTTTTGTGTCTTTTATTTTGATTGTAGGTTATTTTTAGTATATCTAATTTTAATTTATCTGGTTTTCGCAAAAAATATAAATTGAAATTAATAATAAAATTTGAAATAAGCTAATAAATAACTAAATTAAATTTCCGAAGATATTCCACCATAAAATTTAAAATTTTTTAGAAACAATGAATATTTTAAAAACTTAATTAGTATTCAAAGTTTCTTTAGACTTTCTTTGATATTTTCTTCATATTAAATCTTTTCCTCTGAATAATCAATAAGTAATTCTCCTTCAGTGATCTCCATTAGTTTCTGTTTCTGTTTCAATACCCGATTTATTTTATTTATGGCCCACAATTTTGTGACAATCTTTTTTAGTATATATTAAATCAAAAATAAAATTAATTAAATAATTCTGGCAGAATGATCTGATGCGGAAACTTAATTATAGTACCTAATTTCAGCATCCACCTACAGCCATCTGAAGTTTTTATTGAAATTTACTAACTCAAATTCCTTAACTTTTTCATTATAAAAAATGTTCAAATGTTTCAGCAGAACATGGAGACAGTAATTTCACCTTTCCTAAAGAATACGCAAAGTTGTGGTGAACATTTTAATTATAATATCTTCTACCTCTATTGCTGCACCATTTATCATCTGTTAATTCTGCTTTATCTGCAAACCTTGAGCCTATATCCCATCATTGTAAGGTTGCATTTCGATCGTTTTTTTTCTGTTAATTCTCAGATATTTGCTTTTAATTCATTTACATAAAATAACTTAGCTTTGAATTAAGTAATGTTTAATTACACTTACCTTTTAGATAAGTTAACTTAATGTTTTTATTTTTGTTTGTTCCTAAAATTAAATCATAATATTATAAAATTTTCTACTCCACATTAGGTTGTCAACTGTGACATCACATTAGGTTGTCATTGAAGAGAATTAAACAGAACACTTTCATTTTTAAAACAATAACTTAGAATTATTGTAAAAGCAACATAGAAAAAAAGAAAAATTTAATTATTTTACCAGTAAAAAATTTTCAAAAAACTTTTTTCAAAAAAACTGAGAAAAAACCTGACAAGACAGAGTTCCAATATATATATATATATATATATATATATATATATATATATATATATATATATATATATATATATATATATATATATATATATATATATATATATATATATATATATATATATATATATATATATATATATATACACACAAAAACACTAGGTTTAAAATTTTTTTGAATAAAAAATATTTTAAGGGGTCCCTCAAGACCCTTGAATATTTAATGGGTCCCTAATATTTTCAAAAAAAAAGTTTTTCAAAAATATGTTAACCTGATACTCAAATGAAGCAAAATTATATAAAAATTTCAAAAATAATATTTATTTTGAAATAAATTGTTACTTTTGGTTTTTTACTTAAAAAATTATGAGCCATAAATAAAATAAATCGGGTATTGAAACATGTGTATATATATATATATATATATATATATATATACACACACACACACATATATATATATATATATATATATATATATATATATATATATATATATATATATATATATATATATATATATATATATATATATATATATATATATATATATATATATATATATATATATATATATACACACACATATATACACACACACACACACACACACACACATATATATATGCTATTTTAGAAGTGTATATATATATACATATATATACACTTCTAAAAATAAAATGGACAATATATTATATTATGTGACATGTTCTTCCATCTTATGCAAAAAATTTATGCAAAGAAAAAAGCAAACTCTTTTTAGAAATATTATGAAAAATGTTACTATTAATAAAATGATGAATTTATAAGTTGATGAAAATGTTGCTATTAATAAAATTTATAAACATGAAAAAGTAAAAATCCCTAATAAAATCATTAAATAATTTAAACAACAGAAAACTTTGTTAGTTAAAAATAACAAAACATGTTAGACAATTTTAAATATATTTATTTTTAATTTTTTGTTGTATATGATTTTTTTTTTAATTTCTTTATTTCATAACTTAGTATTAAAAAAAATAGAAAAATAAAAAAATATCAAAAGAAAACAAAGAATAAATATTAATATACTCTGGAGTTCTTTTGAGGTGAGATGCTGAGCACAACTTTTCAATCCTAACCTGCAGTCCACGCAAAGCACTAAGAGACTGAAACAGAATAAAAATTTAATGTATTTTTTGAAGATTCAATCCAATTAAAAAAATAATAGCTAAATAAAATGTAGACACAAGACAACCATTTTTCAAATTCTAAAAAATCGACTATAAGATTTTTCAATAAAAGATTATTTTTCAAAATCCATTTTTTGAATAACTAACTTAAAAACTTAATTGTAGAAAAAGATGAACTTTTTAAAAAAAGATTCTAACCAAAACTAACCAAAAATCCCATGTCCATTATATGAGTAATATTATTACCTCGCCAAGTTTCTCTCTGTCATTTCCATCAGGGGATGTACACATGAGAATCTTTAAAAATGATAAAAATAAGTGATTTTAAGATTATTTATAAAAAATTGTTCAAATTTGTTTCATAAAATCTTTATACCCTAAAGATTTTATTATTTCGAAAACAAGATAATTTTATGGCATGAAAAAGATATTTATACTTCAATCTGCATATCAAAAAAAAAAAAAAAATTCATTAAAAATTTATAAATCTTTCTTTGCTTTTAATTCTTTAAAGACAGAAGGACATAATTGTCCCATCTACTTTAATACATATACTGTTTACTCATGCATTAAAAATCTTTTCAAATTTTTTGAAATAATAATGTAAATAATAAGAATTTATTTTTCAAACACATAGTAAATTAAAAACACTTTCACTCATTCGACACTTAGGTGTCAAATCACATGGTTGGCATATATATCATGCAGTTGATCTTTAATCTGATCTCATAACAACCCTCTTACTTTCAAACAAATTATAGTTAGAGCTGCTTTATCTGCAAATCTTGAGCTACTATCCCATCATTGTAAGGTTGCATCTCTTTCTTTTTTTCTACAAATAGTATCACGGTTAGTGCTCAAACAAGCTATTATCTCTAGTTTTATCAACCAAAATTCATTTTTACTAGGCTTGTCATTCAGCAAAATTCATTCTATAATTCTATCTGTCCCTCCATGCTATAAATTTTTTTCTTTATCTAGTTTATTTCCTTGCACATCAACAAAACCTCTAAACTCTCACTCATATTCATATTTTCCAAACTCATACAACCTACGATTATTTAAATCTTCAGTTATCATTCATTTTTTGTTTACCCTATCTTTTGTTTTCTAGTAACTCATAATTTAATGATGGTTGCTTGCAACCTTGTCAAATAGTTGCAACCTTGTCAAAATGTAAACATAGTTTTTTAATTAGATTAAAAAACTATGTTTACAATCCAGTATTTAATAAACAGTAAATGTATGCATAAACTTATATATATTTATATTATTTTATGTATATAAAATAATATAAATATTTCCTAGCCCTAGCTATTAACCCCCGCTAAATCTTATAACTCTACCAGAACCAGGTTTGTAAAGTGACTTACTATGCTTAATCAGCACAGGTGATCAATAAAAAAAATAAATAATAAAGTATAATAAGTTTGAAAGTTTTTTTACATGCAATACATTAAATATCTGAATACATTAAACTTATCAATTAAAATACTTATAAAGTATTTTAACTTTTTATTTTTTATGTCTAAATCTCTTTTTTGATCTTATAATTTGTCAAAAAACTTCTTTTGCTTGGGCTTTTTGTTTTACATTTCTATGGTCTATGCGAGTAGCTTACTATTTGAAATATTGAAAATTGAAAGTCTGAACCTCATTTTTTATCTTTTAATTTTCCAAAAAAAACTTGTAGACACTGGTTTATAACAATTGGATATCAACAAATTTGCCAATCCTATCAGCTTGAGAGATGGTAATCTGGAGGAGGCTGATACAAGATAGAAACTTGTTAAGTGATACTGATACAAGATTGAAACTTATTAAGTTTCACTATTAAATGGACAACCTCATGCTGGTAGCCAAACAAGTGACAGTGAGAATCTCAACTACTCTTAATCTTTCCCCCATAGATGTTTTGACTTTTAATGCATAATTTTTTGTCAAATTACCATGAAATAAAAAGTAAACAATTTTTGTAAAAAATAATAATTAAATGTATTTTGAGAACTTTTTACTCTGAATCATTTTATAAGAAAATAATTTTTTTATTGGTCTAGCAACATTATTTAAAACTATATTGAAAAAACAACAAAGGATTAATATGCAAACAAAATTTAACAAGAAAGTCATAATAATAATTGCAATGTACAAAATTTTGTTAAAATATTTTTATCAGATTTTTCATGTGCTATCAGCTATCAAACAAATATAAAATAATTTAAATAAAATGAACTATAATAAATAATATTAAATACTATTATTTTAAACCTACTTTATATAAGGTAAATACAAGTTGATAAACACAGGTTGACACAATTAAACACAGGTTGCAGCTTAACATAAATCAAAACAAATAAAAATAACACATAACCAATAAACACAACACATAACCAATAAACACAACACATAACCAGTTTACAGCTTTTACTCACCTTAATATATTCGAAATAATCAATGCAATGATGAATCGGGCCATAAAGTAACTTAGGTAATATATATCTTACTGCATCAAAAATACCTTGCTCCTATATAAACAGAAATTAAGACTATTCAAAATAAATTGATTACAAAAATTTTTAATTTAAATTTATACTATTTGAAAATTTTAAATATATTATTATTTTTTTAAAACTGTTTATTTTATTATTGCTTTTATAGCAATAATAAAATAAACCATAAAACATAGAAACAAGGTTGGCAATTTTTTGCCGCCCTCAAATACTTTTAGGTCTGCAATTAGGTCGGCATTGCCGAAAGCCAAACCTAATTACAAGGGTTGTGTGGAATAGTAGATTTTAAGTTGTCAGCATACAAAATAATAAACTGAAAGTAAGTGTACAAATAAAATTGACAGTCAGCTATTTTTTTTAGTATTTTAATTTTTGTTAAAATATTTTTTAGTATTTTAATTTTTGTTTTATAACAGTTACTGAACTTTGTAAATAAAAAAATACTTTATGCTTTAAAAGTATCACTTTCAATGATTTGATGATGGATTTAATAACATCCTTCATCCATCAAATAACATCAATTTTTATAGACTAACAAATTATTATTTTTTAAATGTCCTTGCTTTTTTACATTTGCTGACTGAAAGTTTGAGTTTGACAACTACAGGTCCAAATTTGCTAATGGCTCTGATAACATCAAAGTAATTCTAACTGTTTAATATTTTTGTACATTTAACTTTTAATTAACTTGTTTAAATTTTTGTACATTTAACTTTTAATTAACTTGTTTAAATTTTTGTACATTTAACTTTTAATTAACTTGTTTAATATTTTTGTACATTTAACTTTTAATTAACTTGTTTAAATTTTTGTACATTTAACTTTTAATTAACTTGTTAAAATTTTTGTACATTTAACTTTTAATTAACTTGTTTAATATTTTTGTACATTTAACTTTTAATTAACTTGTTTAAATTTTTGTACATTTAACTTTTAATTAACTTGTTAAAATTTTTGTACATTTAACTTTTAATTAACTTGTTTAATATTTTTGTACATTTAACTTTTAATTAACTTGTTTAATATTTTTGTACATTTAACTTTTAATTAACTTGTTTAATATTTTTGTACATTTAACTTTTAATTAACTTGTTTAATATTTTTGTACATTTAACTTTTAATTAACTTGTTTAATATTTTTGTACATTTAACTTTTAATTAACTTGTTTAATATTTTTGTACATTTAACTTTTAATTAACTTGTTTAATATTTTTGTACATTTAACTTTTAATTAACTTGTTTAATACTTTTGTACATTTAACTTTTAATTAACTTGTTTAAATTTTTGTACATTTAACTTTTAATTAACTTGTTTAATATTTTTGTACATTTAACTTTTAATTAACTTGTTTAATATTTTTGTACATTTAACTTTTAATTAACTTGTTTAAATTTTTGTTCATTTAACTTTTAATTAACTTGTTTAATATTTTTGTACATTTAACTTTTAATTAACTTGTTTAATATTTTTGTACATTTAACTTTTAATTAACTTGTTTAATATTTTTGTACATTTAACTTTTAATTAACTTGTTTAATATTTTTGTACATTTAACTTTTAATTAACTTGTTTAATATTTTTGTACATTTAACTTTTAATTAACTTGTTTAATATTTTTGTACATTTAACTTTTAATTAACTTGTTTAATATTTTTGTACATTTAACTTTTAATTAACTTGTTTAATGTTTTTGTACATTTAACTTTTAATTAACTTGCTTAAATTTTTGTACATTTAACTTTTAATTAACTTGTTTAATATTTTTGTACATTTAACTTTTAATTAACTTGTTTAATATTTTTGTACATTTAACTTTTAATTAACTTGTTTAATATTTTTGTACATTTAACTTTTAATTAACTTGTTTAATATTTTTGTACATTTAACTTTTAATTAACTTGTTTAATATTTTTGTACATTTAACTTTTAATTAACTTGTTTAATATTTTTGTACATTTAACTTTTAATATTTTTATATAGTATAATTAAACTTTTATAAAATTTAAAAAAACTTGAAAATTTTTTTTTTGTAGCTTATGCAACTTAATGTTTTTGCAACTTTTGCAATTGTTAAACCCTCAAGTGAACAAATTACATGTTGAGCCAAGTGATGAGACAAATTGAGTTCATATTAAAGAAAATGTTTTAAAAAAATGTTTGGGCAAAATTTTTTTGATGCATACCAATAAAATGCATACCAATAAAACTAAAATTATCATTTTAGTTGAAGCTTCTCATTTTTTCTTGGTTTTCAGAGTCTTTATAATATATGCCACAATCTGCAGACTGTATAATTCATTTCATACACATTTAATTCATAACAGTTTCAGTATATGTTGTCAATAGGGATTTTTTTTAAGATATCGAAGTATTTTTCTTTGCCGTATTTTTTTTTGGAACTAAATCCAAAAAAATCTTTTTGATACAAAAATGTCTTATTTCAGCAGCGCAATTTATTTTTAACAATTGCAAGTATAAATCTTTATCTAGATTTTTATATTAAAAAGTTAGTGTACTTTTACATCTTAACAAAATATATATTATTTATCCGTGTAAGAATATATTATACCAAATTTATCTTCTAAAACTTCTAATATTTATTTTATATATTTAAAGTTAAAAAAATTTTGTTTTAATTTTTTATTTTAATTTGCGGCTATCCCTATTCAAGTCAGTTGGTATATGTACACTTGTCTGCGACTACCCAAATAAACTATAAAACAACAATTTAATGTAATGTAACTAGAAATAAACAATAATATTAGTTAAAAACATTAAATTTCTTTGAATAAAACATTTAAAATTAAATAAAATAGTTTCTAATGGAGGATTCGAACCCACTTCTTAGACAGCCACGCCACAAAATTTAAGTAATAGAACATCCACTACATCCACAAATGATTTTCTGAATGTCAGACAAAAAGTACTTTGATATTTAAAAAAAAATCCACAATGATGTCATATACTGAAACTGTTATAAGTTAAATGCGCATGAATTAAATCATGCAATCTTCAGATTGTGTATTTATTTGTATATAATATGTGTCAACAAAGTGAATTAAAAGTATCATAAACAAAAGTATTTTAGATGCTTTTTCAAAATATTTTACTCCAAAAATTAAAATAAAACTTATTTGTTAAAACTTTTTAACAAGGTTGACCGACTAGCACTTATTTTAGGAGGTCAAAACAGGATTTTTGATCATTTCAAGAGGTCGCTGACAATTGACTGCCAATTATTTTGTGCGTTGAATTGTAATTAATTTTGAGCAAATTACTCAGATTTATTTTTGAAATTATTTTTTGAAATTGTGATAATTATTTAAAAATTTATTAATTTAATTATTTCCTCAATTACTTTTCAAAATTTATTAATTTAATTATTTCCTCAATTACTTTTCAAAATTTATTAATTTAATTATTTCCTCAATTACTTTTCAAAATTTATTAATTTAATTATTTCCTCAATTACTTTTCAAAATTTATTAATTTAATTATTTCCTCAATTACTTTTCAAAATTTATTAATTTAATTATTTCCTCAATTACTTTTCAAAATTTATTAATTTAATTATTTCCTCAATTACTTTTCAAAATTTATTAATTTAATTATTTCCTCAATTACTTTTCAAAATTTATTAATTTAATTATTTCCTCAATTACTTTTCAAAATTTATTAATTTAATTATTTCCTCAATTACTTTTCAAAATTTATTAATTTAATTATTTCCTCAATTACTTTTCAAAATTGGTAATCTACATCTGTTAATAAAATTTTATTCTACTGAACTTGCTTTCTTGAAAGCAAAGTATTTACTTTATATCTTTTTTTTTAAAAACATCAATATTATTTTTGTTTCATTTTTTATTTGTGAGAAAATAAGAAATGGGAAAGTCTTAGAGTTAAGTAACAAATCACAATGCAATATTCTAAGAGATAAAGGAAGCAGTTGAGTGGTGTCAAATCAGCAATAAATGTGGCTGCGAAAACAATAACCAAACAACTCAATGGTGTCATTGAAAATGGAAGAAAGAAGGAATATTGTTTGATTTTACCAAAGATGAGAAAGAGTCACTAGACTGTTATATAAAAAACAAGAATAGGTAATACGCATGATTGAGAAATAAAACTATTTTTTTTAAACTGTTTCATTAAATGAAGTAAAATCTTTTTTTTATGATTATTGCATTAAGTAAACTAAACATGTAGTATTTAGTTATTTGATATTGTAACTTTACTAATTTATTTAAATGCCTCTATGGTTTAAATAAGTCAGACAAAGAAAATGTTGAATGTCTTGGGAGTAAGAAAGCAAGCATGTAGAAACCTGCGTGGACGCCAGATTACTAAGCTATCATTAAATGTTCAATGAGCACTCCAAACAAAGAAGCTTAGCAAGTCTTATTAAAAGCGTTGAGATGCAAAATATCAAAAGTGTCACAAATAATTACAAAAAAAAAAAAAGACAGATAACTGAATTTAAATATCGTGCTCATAACTGCACAAAAGAAATGGAATGTAACCATCTTAACGAGTTAGCTGAAGAACTTATAAAAATTAATATTTTCATTGATGCAAATCAATTAGAAACAGGTGTATGTCAGGGAGATATTGATATCACTAGACTTTACAACCATGATGAAACCCCACAGTTTTTAAACTATGGAGTTGATGGAACTCCAAATGGTTTAGTTTATGCTGGGAGAGGGAAAAGTTGTCAAAAGATAAGTGAAAATAGAGAATGTGCAACTACACATCCTTTTGTTTTCTTTAGAGGAATGTACCATATTATATTCAAGGAAAAAGGGATTAACATACCTACATGGCTCTGAAAGAAGCGGTTAAAAGAATTCCAAATCTCTTAATCTCCAAAAATGACAGTACACTTTTAAGTGCATATCAAATGACGACAAAAAATTTAGAAAAAACAATATAAAACGATCTGTAGTTGTTTGTCTGTAGTTGGTCATTCTTCAAGTTTTGAATGTGATGTATTGACATTTCTAAGAAGCAAAAATATTCAACTTTTCATCACTCCACTTGACACAACTGACGTTATTCAGCTCTATGATAAAATCAATCAAAAATTGCACTTTCAGTACTAAAGTGCTGAATCTGCACTTTATTCTTCATTTATGATAATTAACAGTGTAAGGTTTCATTCATATACTTGCAGAGTAATGGCTAGAGAGGGCATCAAAACAAACAATTATAAATTCAAGTAAAAAAGTCGGGATTTCAAGTAGAGGACTCAGTGTTGAATGGATGAAGGGATATAAGTTCCTATGAAAACTTTTTTCCTACCCCTGTCTTGAAACAACATTTCTGATGATATTTTGCAAACTTATTTTCAGAAGGGCTCAAAAAATTTAAAATTATTAAAAATTTTTTTTTTTACTAGCTAGTAGTCTTTCTTCAACATCATTTTAGTTTAGAATGTTTTCTAAGGATAATATATATTTTTTTTCTTTATGACTTAACATTATATCATTTGTTCAGATTATTCATGGTATTCAGTGTTAAATAGAAAATTTTGGGTTTTATGTTGCTTAATTTAAAATCTGATATTCTAAAGTCTCACTGCATTCTGAGGTCCTGTATAGAGGAATTTTTATTGAATATTTTTATTAATGTATTTTTAATGTGACGGTACAATTTTTTATATTTAAAATTAAATAAATTTGTTTTTATTTATTAACTTTAGTAATCTGTAAAAGAAACAGTTTTGAATAATGTAGTATTTATTTTGTAAACCACCATATTGGGTTCTCCTATTGACACATTAACAACTTTTTTTATAACAACTTATTTTTATAAAAAGAAAGTTTCATGAAAGTTTGGAATTTTTTTATTAAATGAAACAATCAATGTGAAGATATGTAATAAGGCATGTATATTATTTATTTTTAATATGTAATTAGAAGATATAATCCAATAGAACAAAGGACCTTGATTTTGATGAAATGGCTTCCCAATAGAAACCATTACATCAAAATCAAGGTCCTTTCTCCAAATCATTTTTATATATATGGGTATTCTATCATTGCTTATTTACTTCATTTTCACTATTTTTAATTAAAAGTGATAATATAATAGTTAAATGTTATATACCCTAAAGGTGAAATATTTTTATAAGGTGAAACATTTCACATATATGTGAAATGTTAAATATGTTTTTGCTTTTCTGTTATATTTTCTGTTATATTTGCATATACTTTGTTTAGATGCTTAGATTAGATTTTAGATCTTGGCGATTAGATTTTCATTAAAATAAGAATAAAATATTAAGTCACAATACTTTTTGATTTGGATATGTAAGCTTCTAATCTTTTATTTTTGATTTGGATATGTAAGCTTCTAACCTTTTATTTTTGATTTGGATATGTATGCTCTAACCTTTTATTTTATACTAAGGCTACTAAAAATTGAATCAATTAAATTAAAAAAAAAAGAATTTCTTGACTTAAATTTAATATCTTGAGCAATCATAAGTAACAATATAGACAAATTTATCATGTAAAAATTTTGTTGTTTTTTAATAGTTTTGCAGTTGTTCTGTAAATTGAAACAAGGTCTTTATTGTGAGCATAAACATTTAAAGTAATCATACTGAATGTCAAGTATAAATACTATATATATATATATGTGTATATATATATATATATATATATATATATATATATATATATATATATATATATATATATATATATATATATATATATATATATATATATATATATATATATATATATTTAAATATAACAAAACAAAAACATAAATTTTTTATCCGACTTGATTCAACTTTTTTAAACTTTTCATTATGATGAAAATTTTTTTAATTTTTACACAACTTATTTTATACACACTCCAATCTATGGAACTATACAATGCATTTCAAATACATTAAATATATTTCAAATAAAATCCATGTATAATTGGATATTAAAATATACTGCATGTATAGTGGGTTTCTTATTGCCTTTTTTACGTTATATCAAAATTTATATTTTGATATAACATAAATAAAAAAATTATGGAAAAATTTATATTTTATTAAATACCTTAAAAAAATCTGCAACACCAGGTCGGTACATTAAAGTTTTGATAATATAGTATGATCCACCAGTAGGTGATACAACATTACCATAAGTGTAAGTATCATAGCATTCAAATTCAGCTGCCTAAACAAAATATGCCTAAACATTTTTACTTGAATTTTTTACTTTTTTGTAAGTTTAAAATCTTTATATTTCTAAATTTGCAATTAATGTTTATTGTGATAAATAAATTTAAAATAAAAAACCATAAATTTTTGTGTCCCTGACTATCTCTATAAGTCATTTAATTTTTGAATATGTCTATCTTTGTATCATCTTTACATTAAATGAATGAACACTCAATAATGCCCATGTTTACCTTTTTGCTACCTTTTACAAAAAACAATTTTGCTTATATACTAAAATATTCAAACTTTTTGGCAAATGTGTTTGGAATGGCTAAATGGCCATTCCAAACACATTCTCAAACACTTTAATACAAAACAAGAAATTGAGTATTTATAAAAAATAGACTTTTAAAAATTATTTTCAAATACCAATATTCAAAATTAAATTCTTCTTGCCGCTTTTGCACAATTTTTTATAGTTGTCGTGAATAATTTATAAAGTTGCTGGTAAGGAACATTGGTAGGAACACTGGTAAGGATTACAACAAGGAACATAAAAACAATTTTTAAAATCAAGAAAACATAGCAATCAAATTTTTTATCTACAAAAAAACTTGAAAAAAAAATGCCTAATTCACATAAAAATCTTCTACACAATTATTCTTAGGGTTATTTTACCAGCATGAAAGCACATTAAATTTTCTTTTTTAAAAATACTACAAAAATAAAAGCTTTAATATTTTATAATTCTTGATAGAGCTTTTTTTTATAGTTTTAATTTGTGTATGAAGTGTATATAGATCAATTAATATAATCAGTGTCATACCCAGACATATTTCTATATTGTTAGACTGGTATGGGCACAAAAAATTCTATAAGTTTCAATTATTAAATAAGACCAACATCATTCCAATTATTAATTAAGACCAACATCAATAAATAAAAGCAAATAAACATGTAAAAAATTATTCATAAATTAAACTTGTGTCAGACGAACTTAACATGGTTTCGAGTTAAAAACAAAAAGTTTTGATTGCGTAAGTAGAAAAAATTCTCTTAAACAAAACACTTCTTTATTCTTAAAACAAAAAATAATGTTTTATGGTTGCATTTCACAGTTTAAATCTGTGATGGTGACTTTTTTTTAACTAACCAGATTAACCTGTGATGATTCAAGGAAAGTCATTATTGGAATAGTTAAAATGCGTGCAAATGAATAAAATTGTAAATATGTTTAACAGAAATGTTAAAAAAATATCTTAAAAAAAAATTAAACTTAATAGAATAAAACGATGTAATACTTCTAAGCAATCTTATTATAAAACTTAAGAGTTGCATCTTGAGTAGACAAGGTAGTACATTACAGTACTCATACATCAAGTACATCATAGAAGGAAAGTATGGAAATACTATCTTAAAAAGTGGACAAATAAAGAGCTAGAAAATAAGTTGCTCGCTTAATAAGTGAGAAGCTTCGAGTTTGATCCCCACTACATCCCTGGTAGAACCGCGCTCAACTTGTTTCTCAGCACAGCGGCCTTGTTTGTCAAGGTTTCTATTTCTGAGTTATATATGAGAGGGTTGTAACCACAACCAATGTAGCCTCCTCAACTGTATGGCCTTCTTGGCCTTGCGAAGGTGATTTAACATTAAAAAAAAAAAGTTATTTATTTCTTTATAAATGATGAAGGCATTCACATATGCCATTTCAATTGAGGCAAAAAAATAGCATTTTAATAAAAATAAATTCTGTTTAAAAAGCTTAAAATCTAAATTTTTAGGATGCTGTTATTGAGATGAATTATTACTTCTTATTTTAAGAAAAAGGCAAGTAGCAATTCAGGGGAACTACATAACTATAGTTCAGAAGAATAAACTGGGGTTCTCAAGTAACATCATAATGATGTTGGTGAGACACACCATGAAATAGTTAGATCACATAAAACTAATTTTTAAAAATAATTACAAAAATAAAATACTTGATACTATTCAATGCTACTATCTGATGCCAAAGGTATTGGTATTTAGCATGGTATTGGTAAAGGATGGTATTGGTATTTATTCATGCCTTTTACATTTAAATCAGTTTAAACACAAGAAGGCATTAAATAGGATTCTTTAGTCTAATCATTTGGATGACTTATGAAATAACTAATGAACTTATTTTGAATTATTACACTTATTTTGAATTATTTAAATCAAAAAAATATTTAAATTATTTCTGCTCAAATGAATCATTTAGAAAATCATTTAGGAAATCATTTTGCTGTTATTCAAGATATGCAAGACACTTTATTGGAAACTAAGCTTATATTCAGTCAAATAAGATGCTACAAATTTTGCATGATAGATACCTTCATGGGGTTTTAATCACTTGATTGTTGTGAATTGTTTAAATTTACAACTCAAAGAAGAAATCTCCAATCTGCATGCACAAAAACAAATTGCTTCAATTACATAGTGTTGTAAAAATAAAATTATAAGTCAATACCAATGATGTCAGCAACAAGATGGAAGAATTGATCGAGGCTCGTTTACAATTGCATTAGAAGTAGGTATTTATATAAGACAAAGAGTTGCACCTATTTCATGCAATCAATCTGCAATGCAGCACCAAATGCACAATTGCCTTAAAGCTTAGCATTTCACATTATTTTCAAGATCATATTAAAAACAACAGTTTATAAATGTAAATTAGTTTGGCAGTTTTCAATGTAAATTGTTGATTGAGATTTGACTAATAGGTTTTATCAACACCAATTGTGTGTAAGTTGTTTTTTCCCTTTTTTGACATATTTTTTTTTTACTTTTTTATTACTCATTTTTATTACTGATAACAAGTTAAATAATATGAATTAAAAATAAAGAAAAAGCTTTATATATATATATATATATATATATATATATATATATATATATATATATATATATATATATATATATATATATATATATATATATATATATAAATATATATATATATATATATATATATATATATATATATATATATATATATATATATATATATATATATATATATATATGTATATATATATATATATGTATATATATATATATATATATATATGTATATATATATATATATATATATATATATATATATATATATATATATATATATATATATATATATATATATATATATATATATATATATATATATATATATATATATATATATATATATATATATATATATATACACACACACACATATATATATCAACCCTTAGAATTAGGGTCGGCATTCGGCAATGCTGACCTTAAAGTGTTTGAGGTCAGCAAAAAATTTCTGGCTTCACTTCTATGTTTTATGGTAACCCTTTGTGTCAAATTTTTTTTGCCAACCTGATGCCGACCTCTAACAATTTGAAGTCAGTAATTTATTGCCGATCATATCTTTTCTAATTCTGAGGGTTGATATATATATATATATATATATATATATATATATATATATATATATATATATATATATATATATATATATATATATATATATATATATATATATATATATATATATATATATATTTAAATTTCAACCTCAACCATTTCTTCGAATAAATCACCAATAAGTAGGTCATTCTCTGACATCTCCAGTGTTGATTCGATCAAATCATAAAATTGTGTTGTAAATTCATAAATCTCCATTATATTGCAGAATATTTCGTTAAGGTCCTATTAAAATTTTTAATATTTTAAAAACTTTTATTCCCCACCATCTCCAAAAAAATTATAAAACTATTAAGTATATCATTAATATAAGATGCATAACCAAAAACCATTTAAAACTTTAATATGAGAGAGCAACAAAATACCAACTAATAATTGCATAACCTAATAGTTGACCAATCTTAGCTCAGTCTTTAAATAAAAAAAAAAGACTTATGCTTTCAAATTTCAAAAAAAGTTGAAACTTGGTGTCCAGTGCTCATCAAAAATATATTAAGGATAATGATACAAATAAATATACTGATACAAATAGAGAGAAAAATGAAGTGTACATCTTTGTAAAACACTAAAGGCTGAAGCTAAGTCAATTATACTCTCATGTAAACAAAAGAGATGAAAAAAAATGCTGCTCATAATAAAAGTATTTCCAAAAGGAATGCACAACGTCACTTAAAAATTGTAGACTCGAATGGTAGAGTAGCTATTAAATATTTCTTTTAAAAGCAATAGATTGAAAATATATTTGGACAATTTAGTAAAACATTAATATAAAATAAACCTTAATATAAAAGTTATAACCTTATATATAAAAAAAGTATTTAATAAATAAAACATAAACTACAGCTAAGTACTAATTTTAAAATTTATTTATATGATATTTTAGTCTGACTAGCTCAATCGTCAGAGGTAAAATAAAATGCAATAATAATATCACAAAAAAATGTGTGTAAAAAACCATTAGAACTTTTTAAAAAAAAAGAGATTTCCAGCTATTTGACACAATTTTAACACTGTTGTCCTTGTTCAAATGCTGTGGGAAGTACTTGATCTGGTAATTTTTTTGGGCACAATTAATCTCAAGGATTCTCCTATTTTCCTTTCATGGTAGTTAAAATTAAGTGGGACTGTTTTGGGGTACATCCAATTAAATATGCTGTGGCAATCCTTGCGGTGTTTTGTTAAACATTGGGAGGATTTCCACATATTTAATTGGATTATGGCATACTTCTGGACGTTGTCCAGCTGATTGCCTTTCATTCTATTTACCTGATACTCAAAACTTCTTTGTATAATTTACTTTTTTGTTTCTCCAATATAAACTCCATCACATCAAAACATAAGCTTATACACACCCGCTTTGCTTTTTGGTAATATTTTGGATTTGTTATTATATAAAAATGTTTTTAAAGCTGGCGGTTTTGTAAAAATAACTTTAACACAGTATCTCTTGAGCTCTTTCTTTACCTTTGATCCTAGTCTTGGAATCCACAGGAATTTTATTGTTATGTAACCATTTTATGTTTTATCTGCAACTACACCAACATGATTATATATTAAATAAATTATCAAGTACTTCAAAAAATGTCATCAAAACAAAAAAAAGATTTGATTTTAGGATTATTATAACATAGATAATGTTATATTTACATTTTGAATTAAATTTTATCTTTATGTTATTTGAATATGGTACTAAGATCAACCTGTAGTATATTACTTTTTACATTTAATACATTTCTATTAACATTTCTATTAACATTTCTATTAACATTTCTATTAACATTTCTATTAACATTTCTATTAACATTTCTATTAACATTTCTATTAACATTTCTATTAACATTTCTATTAACATTTCTATTAACATTTCTATTAACATTTCTATTAACATTTCTATTAACATTGGCAATAATTTTTGCATCATAAACATCATTTTGCATTGTTTTTTAAATTAATATACCTCAAGATAGTTAAATCTAATTAGATAATCTTATTACTTCATCACATTTGTGTATTTACCAAACATAAACATTTAATATAAACATTTAGCAATCATCTTGTTTATTTGACTTTAAAAGATACAGAAGATATAACTAGGACCAAAATATAGATACAGATTAGGACCAAGAACTTGTTGTCACAAAATAAATTATTTTTTATTTTGCATCCATTTTTCACTTCAAGTTTTGCTTTAATGTAATCAACTTATTTGAGCATAAACAAAAACAGAAAACAGTTTTTAGGTTTTGTGGCATAACAAAAAAGCATGTTGTAAATATTTATATCCTTAAAATTGTAAATATTTATACCTTAAAGCTGTAAATATTTATATCTTTTAAGTTGTAAACATTTATATCTCTAAAGTTGTAAATATTTATATCTTTAAAAGTCAAAGTGTAACATTAGTATATTTTAATGTAAATTGTAATTAATTTAATTTATATTTTAAAGTAGATTGTAATTAATTTAATTTTTCAAAACACAATGAAAATATTCTAAACAATATTTTACAAAATATATATAACAAAAACTACCAATAAATTCTAAACTATTTAGATAATATCTAAGGTATTTGAAAATGATTTTATTTACTTACTATTTATTTCTTAAAACAATCTTATACATAACATAATAATTCATTGTTTACTTTATCACAACTTACTTAACATGAATTAAATAAACTTTTAAACCTCGCTCATGGTTTATCCTGCAAGATAACTTTTTATAGATAATCTTTTATAGATAATCTTTTATAGATAATCTTTTATAGATAATCTTTTGCAACGAGTTATAAAAACTGATCAGAAACTATACATAAGTAAACAAAAAACATTCAATGCAAAATAATAAAAATAAAAATACTTTAAATTAAAGTAAAAAACCTAAAGTATTTTCTTTTCTTCAGTTTTTGAAATTTTCAGGGAAAAAAAAAATTATAAAATGTTTTTTTTTAATGAAAATTACATATTATTAAACAATTGCGGTGGAAATGTATTGTACAATAATTTATTATGACCTAATGTTTTTTAAATAAATGATGTATAAACTAAATCAAAACGCAATTTAATCATATCAATAGATGAAAGATTTGTATTAACGTGTAGTGTAGAAAGTGTAGAAAGATTAGGATTAACGTGTAGAAATATTTGGATTAACATGTAGATGAAAGATTTGGATTAACGTAGTTTGCCGTTTTGAATTTAAATTGTGTACACCATAACACTTCTTTACCAGACCTGTGTTTTAGAACATCAACTTCTTGGTTTTCACATTAATATGTTAATGTATATATTAACATGTTGGTGTTCAAATCCATGTGTTGGTGTTCAAACCAAAACATTACAATACTGGTATTTACATCTGCATATTGGTGTTAACATCATTATTCTGCTATTCACAAAAATATTTTCAAATATTTACAGGAGCTTTAATGCATAAATGCAAATTAATACACAAGTAAAAAATCAAATAAAGCAATTAAAGATAGATATTACCTGTTGTGAAAATAGATGCGAGGCACAAACCATTTTTTTACGAAAAACCTATAATAGAATATCAAAAAAAAACTTTTAATAAAAAACTAATATAATTTTAACATATCAAAATTCAATTTTAAACATCATTCATTAAATAGATTTTAACATTCAAACCTTAACAATAAGGTTAAGTTCTCTTATAAACTGTTCTTCACATAGCATGAAGTCTTTTAAAACATCAATGTAGGTTAGTGAACGACGCTTAGCTAGTGGCTAAAAAAAAAATCTTAAGTACTTAAAACAGATTTTAAACAACTTTTTCATTCAAAAAAGTTTTTGAAAAAAAATTTGAAAGAAATAACCTGTGTCTCAATTAGATTATCAATATCCTCACTGTTAAACATTGATGCCAAAACCTTAATAAAAGTAAACAAAATTGTATTGATAAAGCTAAAAAAATAAATTTAAAAAAACATTTGTTAAAATTATTTCAAAACAATTTAGAATTTTTTACTAATCCTATACATAACTGCCAAAATTTTTTTCAATTTAGTAAATAAATGTAAATAAAACCAAATACTTTGACTGTTAAATGTTGAATACACAAATATTTCATAAAAAGCAAAGATGATGAAGTGTATTTAAAATCATTGAGCAAATCTCAATGTTTCAACAAGCAAACTTAAAGAAATATTCTTTTTACTTTGTTCAATTTCCTACTAAATATACATAAACTATACAATTAAAAAAAAATCAATTTTTCCCACTCAGTTTTTTTCTACTTTATGTATTTGAATTGTTAACTCAGATAGTTTTTTGTATAACATTTTGGCTAGATAGCTTAGGTGGTCAAAAAAATTTATGTACTATTTACATGTCACTTAATAATAACGTCTACTTTGTTAGTCACAACCAGGGCTGTGGAGTCGGAGTTGCGGAATTACTTCATTTTTAGAGTCGGAGTTGCTAAACAAAATCGCGACTTCGACTCCTATATTAAAACTTCTCGGTATTGCACGTGCATGTACAAAACATTCAATCAACCTTATGTTCATACTAAATCTCAAAGAACGTTACATAAATTTGTCAAAAAAAACTTTTTAACATATTGCATAATACTTTTTAAAGAATTCAAAGAGTTTTTCAAAAGTTTTGCTTTGGAGTCGGAGTCGGAATTGCACTCAAAAAAATTTAACAACTGGAGTCGGAGTCGTTACTTTTTTTTTACAACTCCACACCCCTGGTCACAACTTTAGATTAACATAAAAATTCTATTTCTAGCTTTACAATGGTAAATCAGAAATATTTTTAAAATTTATTTTTATATAAAAATTCTAAAAAACTTATTAAATAAAATCAAAATTTAAACACACAAACCAAGTAAACTTAGTATATTACCTTATCTGCATTCATAGCAACTTTAACATCTTGTTTATTAATCACCATTTGTCTGATGTTTTTTACATAATTTCCAGCCAGCTAAATAAATGTCATTATATATATATATATTTTTTATTTTTTATTTTACTTCACCTCCTCAAGGCCGAGAAGGCCACTACAAACGAGGAGGCTACTTATTTTGTGGCTATAACCCTCTCTCAACTCTATAACTCCGAAACACGAACCTTGACGAACAAGGCCGCTGCGCGGAGAAATGAGTTGAGCGCGGTACTACCAGGGACGTGGTGGGGATCGAACTCGGAACCACTCGTTTATGAAGCGAGCGCTCTACCACTACACCACTACTGCATTAATATAGTATATATTAATGCGGTATATATAGTAAATACCAACATTAAATATAGTAAATACCAACAAACACCTGTCATGATTACTTATGCCAAGTAAATTAAACTAATGTGTAAAATATTATTTAAAATAATTTAATGATTATAAACATAAAAATAATTTAATGACTATAAATTGCAGAATAAGTTGAAACAGTTAACATATCAACAAAAATTTCTGCTCAATTATTTTTTTTCTTCATACAACTAACAATTTTTAAAATATATTTCATATTTTTTCCTATACAACCTACGCAATTACAAAATAAAAATTTTATTTTACAAATTTTCTACTGATATAAAATTATCCTATAATCCAACAATACAACTGTAATACTTATTAACATTGACCAATCAAAATAGAGAGATATTTCAAAGAAAAAAATAACAAAGAGTTTTCTAAAACAATAAAAAAAAAAAAAAAAAGGCAAGCAGGTAAAATTTTTAAATAAACTCAATTTTTGGTAAGACATATTTTTTAGTTACATTAAAGGGTTATGCAGCAAAAATAAAAATTCAAACCAATCAGATTAGTTTGATAACTAGCTGATTTTTTTTTACAGCCATTCACTCATTCACTTATTTACTTATTCAATAATTCACTAAAAGCGGAGATTACTAACCTTCAGCAACCCACTGAAAATGGATATCAACAACGATTAATTGTTCTACAATCATAACTAATATAAAACTTACATAAATTTAAAAATTGCTCATCATAGAATCGTATGATCTAAAAATTGTTTGTTATAGAGTTGAGAGAGGGTTGTAAACCTCTCATAACTCTAAAACTCGAAACACAAACCTTGAAGCCGCCTTGACTGTAGTGACCTTCATGGCCTTGGGGATGTGAATCAAAATAAAAACAGAAATAAAAAAAACTGACAATGACAGAGAATTCTCAGATTGTTTGATTTTCAATTATGTTTATTATTGTGTTATCAATGGACTATGTATTTGTTTATTTAGGTACATTTTTGTACCTAAATAAACAATGCAAAAAACAAAAACAAAACAAAAAAAGTTTTTTTAATAATTTTTTATATTTAATTTTTATTTAGTAATTAATTAAATAATAAATAAAAAACAATATTCAAATGTTAAAATATAATCAATCATTCTAATGAATAAATTAAAAATAATTTTTATTTAATAATTAAATAATAAATTAAAAATAATATTCAAATATTCAAATATAATCAATCGTTTTATTAAAACAACAATATATAAAAAACTGTTATACATCATATAGTTGTTTTAAAAAAATGAATGATCTTAATTATATTATTATAAAAGTTCATTCATTTCTCCTCATACAACGATATTTTTAATCACAAAGAATTGTAAATGAAAATGTCATTGTATATAAAAATTGCTTTATTATCAAGTAAGACAGTGACAAATCATTTAAAAAGACTTTGGTAATTAAACTTCGAATAGTTAGATACTTGTAAAATCGAAATAACAGTTTTTCAAAGTTACACTGCAGTTTTTATCTTTCACTTAGAGTTATTAGTGTGCGCTCTATTTAGAAAGTTTTTGTTATTATGTTTTTGTTTTGGTTTTGTTTCTCGATTTTTATTCTTTTATTCTCCAGTTTATCAGTTAGATTTTTGTTGCGTTTATTCCAGATATAGTCAAACCAATAATTTGCAAGCAACGCAAAAAATGGCAGAAAACCAACTTTTGCAACCACCACGTTTTTTTATTCAAGCATCTTGACATTTACATAAAAAATTTTGCAATGAACGTAGCAATTTGCAAGATCCATTTGAGTATTAATATATTGTCTTATTAAAATAATAGAATAAACAATAACATTTTTTATTGCCCTTCTTTAGTTGATTTATTTTTCTTGTGCTTTGTAAATTAAACTAAATTTTAAAAATTTAACCGTGATATCTCTAAGCTATAAAGATATAGTGACAATTATATTGAAAGCTTTTTGTAAATAAACCTTGAACTAAAGAGTTTTATTCTTTTACAATTGTTTTTCAACTGTTTAGACTAAAATTTCATTTATTACTATCGTTTCCGCTCAATTTACTATCATACTCTTTTATGAACTCGTAATTAATTTTATATTCTTTTCAGAAACTAGGAGAAAATATATGTTATGTTGATGTGATATGTAAGTTAAAATTTGAGGTAATCTAATTTTTAATTTCTAAGAGACTTAGTACAAATAGATTTTTTAAGATTCTGGTATATATACTTCTTAAATATATTCTTCTTATATAATATAAGCGTGTATAAAAAAAAGCATCATACGAATTTAAAAAAAAAAAAACAATCTTTTTTATATTTTTTTTATTAATAGAACCAATAGAAGGGTATTAAATGCAGTATTATTTTATATCCGCCTATAATGAATAGCCTATGAATATTATTATTATTAATGCGCATAGTTACGCATTGTTACGCCTATTGTTCGTTTTGTTAATTACGGTTCTGCATTATGTAAAATACACTATTTCTTTGCCTCTAGAATTTTCTAAGCGCAGTTATATATTCCACGCGGTCATTCGAGTAAAATCAGCAATCAAATTGGAGCTGATACATTTATTTTCAAAAAGAATTAATGTTGTTTATTTTTTAAAATAAAAATTTAAATAATTGTTAGTTTGCTATGTATATATATATGTATATCTATATGTATTTTCTCTTAGCAAAAATAATTAAGAATAGAAAAATAAAAAAAATTTCTTCTGGAATTTGTCAAAAGGGTGTTGTGTTATTCTTCATTTTAAGGTATCTAAATATGTATTTATTTTTCATTTTTTAGAATAAGTTAGAACTAAATTGACTAGTAAAATAGCTTTTTTAGTACAATGTTTCTTTTTTAAGAAAACAGTTTTGTCGTTAGTCTTTTTAAAACATTTTAAGCAGTATTTGTTTTATTTTTTAGAGCAGTTAAGAGAAGCTGATCGCTTTTTTAGTAAGTTCAAGTTATTTTCTCATACATAAATTAAGGTTTTCGATTTATTTCAGTCTATTTTATATTTCTCTATATCTACATATATATATATATTCTCTAAGGAAAAATAATAAGGAATAAAAAAATAAGGAAAATTTCTTCTGGAATTTGTCAAAAGAGTGTTGTGTTATGCTTCATTTTAAGGTATCTAAATATGTATTTATTAGAAATTTTTTTAAACCAAGTTTAAAAAAGTTGTTAAACCAAGGAAATTGTAGAGGTTTATTTATCAATATATACTATAAATTATATAATAATATTGGAGGGAGTAAGTTAAAAAGCATTTTTAAATTTTTAAAAAGAAATAAAAATACTTTTCAATATATATCTGCTTTTTTTGAGGTAGATTTAAAGTTTCAGGCTTTCAAAATTGTAGATCTTTTTAACGTATAAATAGACATTAAGTATTTCTAAGTAGACATTACATATATATAAAATCTTTTTAAAATTTAATAAGTAATTATTTGTTTAAATAAGTAGTTAATTGTTATAATTTATTAAGATTTAAATTATTAGAAAATTCATGTTTACAGAGTTGTTATTAATCATTATCGAGTTGTTGAACCAAAGAAATTGTAGAGGTTTATTTATCAAATATATACTATATATATTATATAAAAAATTTTGGCTTTCATATGTTTTCACTAATAAATAGTTCTATATATATATATATATACACACACATATATATATATATATATATATATATATATATATATATATATATATATATATATATATATATATATATATATATATATATATATATATATATATATATATATATATAACTATATATAACTATATATATCCTTGGAGTTGCGGCAGCATAATAGTGTGTTAGGAGAAAAAAATTTATAAACCCGCGTTAATAACCTGTTTTCTATCGTACATAATGCATTAATAATGCATTTATAAGTTTTATTACGTGTTTTGTTCAATGTTTTCTCCCAACGCATGAACTATGACGCTGTCGCAATTTTTTTTTTTTTTTTTATTAGAAATAAAATAAGTTTTAATAAGTTTTTGCTGATGTGGTTGCAGGTTTTTCTTAACTTCTATCAAATAAACTTAAGAAACCTGTATTACTTTTGATGAGGGCAAATTAATTTTATTTTGCATTTGTTTGGTTTCTTTATATATATTTGTTTTGAAAATTTTTTTTTTTAATTTTTCGAGTATGATTTTTTTAGTTATTAAGTTTTTTTATTTTATTGTTAACTTTAGATTAGTAAAAAAAAAAGAAATAATTAGTGTTGCTTTGATAAATATGTTTAATAAAAATGATGACATTGAAATGGATGATAGGCTAGATGTAGTTTTGTATTTACAAGATGATGTAAGTGCTATAAGGCGTGTTGAAAATAATCGTAGACGAAATGAAAGAAATAGACTTAGACTTTTGAGGAAAGAAAAAATTCTTATATATGTAAATCATTTTTTAGCTAATAAAATGGATTTAAGACTAGATTGATTTTTGTTTCCTGTTAAACCGCAGTAAATAAAAATTAGAAGGCTATTTGGCCCCAACAGAATATGCGACAAGTTTGTATTAAACTCATTTACACAAAAATGGAATTAAGACAAGTTAGCTCCTAAAATTATCTATATGTACAGATATGTTTATTGCACTTATTAGTAAATAAACTGATTAGTTGCGTAATGAGTTTAAATTTTAGCCATTTTTTAAAGTTGATAATCATAACGTACTTAATTAAACATGCGTGATGTAATTTGCATAGCTAAATTAAATGCTCTTTTACTTTAGTTACTGCGCTAAGTGTTGCGCAGTTTGGTTTGTGCGCAGTTTTTCTTCTGTTCTGGAATTTTGAGATTGGAATTTCCAGACTTATTTTAAAAAGCGCGTTTTCGTTATAAATTTTTTTATAACGAAAAATCTAATCATACCTATCAAGTAGGTCATATTCAGTATAATCAATTCAATCGTTTTCATTTTTTATGTTTTAACATGTCTATTACCTTTATTAAATTTGTTTTTAAGCATATTTGTTTTTATTTTTTATATCGAATTAATAGAATGAATCAGATTGAAGATGAAAGTTTGTATTTATTTAGATGTGTATTATGTTACAGATGTATAATGTTATGTTGTTAGTTCTTAAATATATGTTTATTTTTAGTTGCTGAATTACTAAGAAGTAAGTTTTCTTTCATTTTGTTATTAACAAATGTTATAAATTGCATTTATATGTTTGTTAATTTAAATTAACTTTACAATATTAAAATGGTTTAAACGAACTTAAACGAACTTTTGTAAATGAATTTAATCCTCAAAGATTAAATTTTTTTTTATTATTGAAGAAATTAAACTAGATTTAAGAATGATTCGACTTAAATGTTTGTTTGTTTTTCTATTTAGATGATGACAATATTGAAGCAAGTAAGTTAAAAAGCATTTTTAAATTTTTAAAAAGAAATAAAAATACTTTTTAATATGTATCTGTTTTCTTCGAGGTAGATTTAAAATTTCAGGTTTTTAAAATCATATATATTATAATATTTAAGAATGAGTCGACTTAAATGTTTGTTTGTTTTTCTATTTAGACGTTGGTGATAATATTGGAACAAGTAAGTTATAAAGCATTTTTAAATTTTTAAAAAGAAATAAAAATACTTTTTATTATGTATCTGTTTTCTTCGAGGTAGATTTAGAATTTCAGGTTTTTAAAATCATATATATTATAATATTAAATTCTTTTTTACTTTAAAAATATCCATATTATAGTTACACTGAGTCGTAGAAAAAAAATTAAAGTTTATTAATAAGGTAGTAGATTATTAGAGTAGATTAAATTGTTTGATCTATTAATCAACTTAATAACGTTCTACTCAAGTGAAGATTTATTTTTGTTGTTTGTTAAAATTTAATTAGAGTTTATTTAAAATTTAAATTCTTTAGTTAATCAAGAGAGATCTAATAAAGGTATTAATTACATTAGTTAAATGTAGCATTTAATATGTATTTTATCGATATTTTAACGTCTAAACATTAAAGTGCTTTTATTGTTTAGATACAGAAGTGAAGAAGGAAATGAGTCAGTGTTTTTGCTATTAGATATTTGTTAATAGGAATTTGTTTATTTGTACTGCCACTGGAATTTTAAAAAATCAAGTTTTTTAGCTTTTTTTTTATACTTTCTTTTAGGGGAGTTGGAACAAAAACTAAGTATAAATTATGATTAGTTCAGTTTAATAAATAAAGCATTAATATTAAGAAGATTTAAAGTTTAATTTAGTTTATAGTTTTGGTTTAGTTTATAGTTTTGTTTTTTGCTTTAGTTATTTTTTTCTTACTTTAGACAACTTTATGGATGAAATGAGGGGGATGGGTAAAACAATTATTTAGATATGTATATATTTATATGTTAACATTATTTTATCGATTATTATATATTTATTTAAGTATATATTTGTCTTTAGTGTCAGGTGGAAGTATAGCTGGTAGGACTGTGTTTTATATTTTATATATTTTGTATGGAGAAATATATGCAATAGGTGAAAAAATTAATTAATAAATATGACACTTTTGAACTGGTTGCATTATTGCCCTATATATTTATTAAAATACAAAATATTGCATGTTTAACCCTTATTAATTTGCTGTTTTTTTTTTTTGTTTTTTTAAGCATCTTCTGTTTCGAATGAAAATGGTGAGGTTATGCTAATTTTTTTTTTTTAATAATTGCAAATGTATAATTTTTATTATACTCTTCTATTTGTAACTTTAGATTCCTTATCATTTGAACAATACCAAAATTATCGCTCCCAATACCCGGGACCTCTCTCAGAGAGGTCCTTCAATAAATGGAAACGTAATGGCGGTATGGATGAGCCCTCCTTTAAATGGAGGGCTCATCCATACCGGGGTGTTGGGAGACACCGAAGAAAAAACAGCAACCAAAAGGTTGTAAATGTCTTCTATCAGTAGAGATATTTATGACTTTTTAGTTGCTGCTTTTTCTTTGTTTTTTTTTTTTTTTTTAATTTTGTAATTTTTTGTTTCAGTGTTTTTTTTTATTATAATTTTGTAATATTTTTTTTAAATATATTACATTGTATATTTGATTTGTTTTAATCTTTTTTAATAAAATTTTTAATTGTTTTCTCACCAATTAAACCTGACTTCAAATTTAAAGCCCTCTTAAATACCCCTCCCTAAATTCTAAAGTCGAAAGTTGAATTGATTCATTATCCAATTATCATAATATAATGATGCTGCATTCTTTTGTTAAAAACAATTATTTGGTACTGCTTTTAAAATTTACCAAAACCCAAGGCAATATATTTAGCTATATAAATACAATTTATTTATCTCGATTCTATTCTTTATCTTTTATGTTTATAGTTTGGCCCCTTAAAGCATTTTATGTTTTGCTCTTTTTATTATGAATATTTTAAATCCGTTGTGATGTCTTTTAAATTAAACTAAAGTTTACTAAAAGCCAACATAAAAATTACGTTTTTGAACAACACCAAAAAGAACAGCTGCATCCCTACAGCAACTGCTGCAGTATCACAATAGGTTACCAAAAGCAGGTATACTGTTTTCCAGTTGTTGTTTTTTTTTTCATATATAATATGAAATACTCATAATACTATAGTACAATTGTTTATATCTCATTCATTTTTTTTTCTATATCTTTAAGTGTTAATAATTTTATTCTTTGAATGATTTTAGTGAAACAAGTCGGCTTTTCATTAAAGATATTGGTTTTAAAATTGAACATCATTGGCAAAATGCTTACAAAATTAGGTAGTTTTTAAAAATCTGTTTTCTATATAATACACTTTTTTTTAAATATACTTTTTTAATATACTTTTCTATAACAATTCTACTAATATGGAATCACGTAGCTTTTTAAATATGTTTAATTGTCGTCCCTATCGGTAATAAATATTTTAAATTATTTGATATGGTTTTCTTTACAATAGGCTATGCTTGGCTCCTCGGTGCTGTAAATGGTGGCTTCAACTTTGTTTTTTTTTTAAGAAAAATGTGTTTTATATATGCTTCTGTTTTAAAATATTTTTGTTACATATTTAACTATATATCATGTAAATAAATTTCTTTTTAAGATAAGTAAACTTGATACTTGCTTTTTTACGGATTTTCAAAAAGTAAACAAAGGTTTAAATATATTTTTTAACTGTCTTTAATGATTTTATCAATTTTATTAAAGCTGAATAATTACTTCAAAAATATTGAGTAAAATCCAATTGCTTTTATTATTAACCTGATCTATACAAAAATTAATGAAATAAAACTAATAATCTAACGCCAAGTTAAGGCAAAATGTATTTTATAAAATTAGTATAAATATGGATTGGATGTATGCTGAAATAAATATGTTGATACACGTTAGCTATTATAGTAAATCCATATATTCCTTTGTTTTTTTATAAACAAGTTTCTGCTGGATTACTAATTAAAAAAAAGGTTGGTTTAAATAATAATTTTTATCATAATATATAGGATCCGTATGCAGGGTAAGCCCTTTTCGGAATTGCGATATATTTTTCAACTTATAGTTTTTCCGGATATCCAACTTCTATGCCTACAAGTTTGGGTGTAATATTTTAGGGGTTTTAAAAATATTTAAAAAATATATTAGTAACATTTAAAAGGTTTAGGTGCGATAGTGACATATTTTGAAGCTCTTCACTCAGTAAAATGAAAAGTTTAAAAAATAAAGAAACGACTCAGCTTAAAGCAAAATTAAGAGTAGAATATATTCCCAATATTTACCTAAACAATTTTACGGAATTTGAAAATTTGACATCGATTTTCTGTGCATATAATTTAATCATTTTATGGTTAACTTTATCTTTAATGAAGCTAAGAGTTCTCTTAAACTAAGAAGCCAAGAAATATAAAAGTGAGCTTAACTAAAAAAATGTATAAATAAATTTATATTTCATTAGAGAAAGTAAATAAAGATCAAATTGTTAGTAATGATTTATTTACTACTAACCCGTATTACGGGTTGCTTACTGTATAAATAAATTTATATTTTATTAGAGAAAGTAAATAAATATCAAATTGTTAGTAATGATTTATAAACTACTAACCCGTATTACGGGTTGCTTACAGCTAGTATCAGGTTTATTGCTAATATATTTAAATTTATTAAATATAGCGCAAGTATAAAAACGAAAATAAAATGTAAAAAATCATATAGTATTATTTTTATCATATAAAAGGAATATATTAAATTATAAATTATTAATAAATATTCATTTTAAATAAATTAACCCAAAATATCTTAAATTTCAAAATCGAGCGCAGTTTCTTCACTTTCACTCGATTCAGGTTTTCATTCACTTTAACTGCTTACACCATAGCTTTACAACAAATATTGTTCTATTTTCCATGATTGTTTCCTTTTCACAAACTTCATCTTTTCCCCAACTCAGATATGTTGCTAGTGTAACTCTATTACCGGAAGATGCCATTTTCTTTAATGAAACTTTACTTTTTAAAATCAATAACTTAATAACCTGAATAACTTGATAACTTTATATCAGACACTCAGTTTATACTATAAAAATCGATTAACAGTCTGTTGATTATAAATGAGATATTGGATTTTAAATAATTATTAATATATTAGCATATTAAATAAACTGGTGCCTTTTGCTTAAAAAATCCAGGAAATTAAAAGGGTTACAGGGAAATATGCACTACTTTAAGCATGGAAAACTAGTTTATCAATCAATTAGGCAAAATGTGTGATTATACAAAAAAGAAATTGTTTTTATTATCTAACAGTTCTTATTGTATAAATTTATGAATTTCCAAAGAATACTGAAAACCTGGACTATTATGTTAAACTCTTTTGCAACACATATTTTGCCTGCTTTTTATCAAACTAATTACTTTATGTCTTAGAAGTTTATTGGAAACTATCAGGACTATCAATCTCTTTTTGAAGAACTACTTGTAAAAACTGGTTCGATAACTATAAACAATAAGAATTTACATGTATTGGTTACAGAAATTTTCAAAGTTAAACTGGGACTTGCCCCTAAATTGATGTAAGAGATTTTTTGTTTTCGTAATACTAGTCTAACAGGGGATAAATTTGCATATAACAATATACAGAATGTAAAATACAGTCTAGAGTCTCTTTAGTATTTGGGATCATCAGTTTGGAATTTGGTACCAATAAATTAAAAATCAAAAATTAGATTCCAAAACATTGTCCCTGCAAATTATGCATGACCTATGTCAAAGATATTGTATTTATAAAATTGCATGTTTAATTTAGGCAAATTTTAAATAACTCATTATTTTAATTTTTGATTTGTGTATATTGATCAACCCTCGGATTTTGGAAAAACGAGGTCAGCAATAATTTGCCGACCTCAATCTTTTAGAGGTCTGCATCAGGTCGGCAAAAAAAAAATTTGATACAAAGGTCTCACCATAAAACATAGAAACGAGGTCAGCAATTCTTTGCCAATCTCAAACACTTTATGGTTGGCAGTTAGGTCAGCATTGCCGAATGTCGACCCTAATTCCGAGGGTTGATATTGATATAAATATATATATATATGTACATATATATATGTATATATATATGTATATATATATATATATATATATATATATATATATATATATATATATATATATATATATATATATATATATATATATATATATATATATATATATATATATATATATATATATATATATATATATATAGGCTTGGTTGGGAAGCGAGAGCGATCGCTCTCGAATACTGACCACGGATATTATATTTAGTTGCGAAAAACTGGCCAGGTTTTTTAGTCGTTTTGAGAACATTTATGCTTATGTACGAAACCAAAAATTTTTTGTTTTACGAACATACATGGTAGCAGAAAACTTAAATATCTTGTCAAAATATCTTGGTGCAAAAGAATAAAAAGAATATTCGCGAACACTAAAAAAATTAACGAACAAACTAACGGCCAAATTAACGAACAAACTAATTCTATTGGTTCAAAAAATATGCTGACTAAGCTAAATAAAGTTCTCACGTATTCTGTTATTTCACGATTTGTTACGTTTTGAGATTTCTAGAATAAATTGTTTTAAAAATATATAATATTTGTTTACAAAAATAAACGTTTTAAATATATATTAATTAAATTGTCAAAATTTTAAAAGTTTATGATAAATTATAGATTTTATTAGTATATTCTTAATTTTTATTTAAAAAGTATGTATTCTTTATGTAAATGTAATTTTGTGTATCTGTTTTTTATCGTAATGTATCTTTTAAAGCAATTTTTATGATTTTAACAAAGACTTACAAAAATATTTGCCTTTTCAATGAAGTTATAATCGTCAAAGTTAATAAAACTAATTATGTAACAAAAATATAACAAGATTCTGGTTACTAAACACAAACAATGCATACAAATTTACTTGCGGATCAAAAAGCACCGCGCCTGAGATCACGACAGAACACAAATGTTTATAGCAAATAATTAGATATAAAGAAAAGTTTCTAGATATTGTTTTACTAACTCTAATTATTTTCGCTTAAGTTGCCATTCTTAAAACTCGTTATACTTTTTTCTGCTTTAAATACTAATTAAAATAAAAAAGCCCACTAAACATCAGTGATATTGTGAATTGCTTCAAATATGTTAAACTTTTCAAACTACGCAAAACATACAATAGGTATTAAAAAAATTAACTTTTTAATTTATAAAATAATTTAGCTCAAATAAAACTAAAACTTGCAAACTTTGTTAAATAAAGAATATTTGTTTCCTTTTTAAACAATCGTAAGATGTTACTTTACATAAAAAACATCGTTTAATTTTATGAAAAAAATTATAAAAGAGCGATGTTTTGAAAATAGTTGTTCTAAATGTAATTTATTTAGCTTTAAGTTTTTTCGCGTTTAAAGATATTTTACTTGCCTAATTTTTTTTTTTTTTTTTGTAATTGTCTCTCATTGGTCCAATTAATCTTATGCGCTTTTTTTTTTGCTTTTTAAAATGTATATACATACATACATATATACATATATATAACCCTGACCCATATATATATGTACATATATATATGTGTATATATACATACATATATACATATATATACACATATATATATGTACATATATATATACATATATATATGTACATATATATATGTGTATATATACATACATATATACATATATATACACATATATATATGTACATATATATATATATATATATATATATATATATATATATATATATATATATATATATATATATATATATATATATATATATATATATATATATATACATACATATATACATATATATATATACATACATATATACATATATATACACATATATATATGTACATATACATATATATATATATATATATATATATATATATATATATATATATATATATATATATATATATATATATATATATGTATATATATATATATACATACAGATATATATATATATACATACAGATATATATATATATATATATATATATATATATATATATATATATATATATATATATATATATATATATATATATATATATATATTTTATATATAAGGCTAACACAATGGGTGTGTGTATGGGGAAGGTGGTGGTGATAAAGATGTTATTTTTTTTAGATTATATTTTTACTGACTAAGTGAACAAATAATATAGATTATATTTTTTGTTCACTTAGCCAGCAAATTTGACCCTTTTAGACAAATCAGTCGGCAATTTTAGACAGTCAGTCGGCAAATGTGTAAATTTGTTTAAGAAAAAATTCTCTCATATAATAAAAAGAACCTATTGAAATACTTTTTTCTCCTTTCTTTTCTTTTGTACTTTATTTTGTGTTACTGATTTTATATCCATATAAATCAGTTTCCTTTTGCCAAATATTCTGATTATTTTGCAAAAATATATTTAAAAAATATTTCAAGTGAGAAACACATATATATTGAGTAAATAGGACTTTGTGGTTATAGACTTCATAATACTCTTAGACTTATATCATAAAGTTTATTAGTTGAATATCATAAAGTTTATTAGTTGATTAGACTTATATCATAAAGTTTATTAGTTGAAGCTTAAACTAAAAGCAACAATATTTCGTTAATAATATTTCCACACAATTTAAAGTACCACCAAAACATATAATTACAGCACTTAAGGTTCATGTTTATGGAAAATTTCTTCTAAAATACCCTGTGTCTGGTACTACAACAAATTGCCAGATTCCGAGTGCCTGGAAAAATAGCTGAATTACTGGGTCCCTGGGTCCGAACCTTGTACCTGGCACATCACTAATAGTGATGAGAATACTATAAATAATCTCATATTTATACTTTTGAAAACTAAAACATTTAACTAAAAGTATAAGAAATTTTTTTACAATAACACAAATTTACAAATGAGGCAAGACTACCTTTTTAACTGCTGCAGCAGTTGGAGACTCAATGTACAAAATTAAATAATTTATAAGCTTTTTTTAAATTTTAAATAAAAGCATATTTAGTTTTACCTTTAGAATGTCTGCAGATATGTATTCTAAAACTGCAACTATATATATTGCCAACTGAATATCGATCTTGTAGCCAAGAATTTCCTTTAAAAAGAAAAAAAGATCAAAAAAATTCTCATCACATGCCACAGAAAAATAAAAAAACAAATAAAGAAAAGGTTTCAAATTAATGTGTAAATTGGTTTTGTCAAAACTTTAAGTTTTATATAAAGTTTTCAAACACTGAATTGATATCGATGAATATCAAAAAATATCAGTGATTATTTTATGTTTATAGCTACCTTATCATTATTTATATATAGCTACTTTATATTATATATATATATATATATCAGGGACTATTCTAGACTAACTGTAAATTAAACTTTTAGCAATTTTGTATGAAAGCTGTTAGTCTAAAGAATAAAATAAGCTAAAAAGTTTTGAGTCTGGCCAAAAGAGGGCGAACTTATTACTGAAAATGCCACTTAACTTACGTTACACAGAAAACAAGGTAAAAAAGTTGCTTCAACTTTTAGGTAAGATTTCTGCGCATCAGTAAAGCATTTTGTATTAGAAACTTTCACAAGATGTTGAAAATTCTATACCAATTTAAAAAATATATAAAAATTTACTAGAGATGACCGGCTAACAAAAACAAACTGGTTTTTTTGATACTATATATTTAACTTACATTACATCACTAACATAATTCAGCAATTATTTTCATGGATTTTTTATATCTATTATTAAGGTTAGAGTAAAGTAACAAAGAAATTGCCAAAGTATCGAACTTATTTATTAAAAATAATTAACAAAGATAATTTTAAAAAACTGGTGGCACTCTTCGTGAGTGATTTTTCATAACATTTATGGTTATAAGATAGAATACAGTTTTTCTGCAAGACCAAAAGCAACTTTAAAAAATTATTTTAGCTTTTACATACACTTCTAATGTTTATGCGTATTGCCTTATTTTCATTAGGTTAAATTTTAAAAATGCTGCAAACTATTTAAATTTAAATTGTTTTAAATACTTTTGACGTAAAAACTGCTAAGCATCGTTATTCAAAAATTCAAATGTAAAAACAAAATATTGAATATTCTTTCGCATATTTTATTAAAAAGTTTTCAAACTAAATTTTTGAAAAAACAAAACTTTATCAGGTTTTTATTAATTTACTTTACATAAAAATTGCAAAAGTTCTTGCGTTATTTTGTTAAAATATATATTTTATAAAGTATAAAATCTGACCAACATCAATTGGCACATGTTTGTTCCAATATCACACTAAATTAATTCTGATTATGCAAATAAATTCATGGTTAAAATAACATGATACTTTTTTAATCATGTGACAATGAAAAAAACCGCAACTTTCAGAAGCATAAAAATGACTTAAATAAATTAATTTTTAGAGCTAAAGGTATACTTTAAATAAACTTTCATATGTCTACATCAATATTCATTTGCTAAAACTTGACGAAAAAGAGAATAAAATTTGACTACTATTTTATTTTCCACTGAGGATTTGCCCATATATGAAAACTGAGTAACAAAACTCTCAAAATCAAGTAACAAAAAAATTAATGAAATCTACGTAATGTTAAAATTGTGTAAAAAAAAACATTTGATATGCTTAAACCATATCATGTGGGGAGCAACCAGTAGTTGCTAAGTAGCAAGGCACAATAAATATTGGTACTTGTCTCTTATCAAATCAAAAGATTTATGATAAACAGTCAAACATCTTGTAAAAATTGTAATTTAAAACATATCCATTTGAGGTATCTACTTTTTGTAAATTTGAAGTAATATAAGAATCTTAGTTGTAATTCATTTTATCTTTAGTAAATTGGTCCGATCGTATTAGCAAATTGCTTGAAATGGCTATGATTTTGGCTTTTGATTAAATGTATTATCTAGCTTTCACATAGCTCACACTTTCCATAAATGAGTGAATTCGACATCATATTATTGACAGTTTGTTGATATAAACTGTAAGAAAACTAAGTATCATACAATTAATAACAAAGAATATATATTCAAAGAAATCTCAATGCATATTAATAACTTTAAAGTCACAGTCAAAAGATCTCGAGCAATGGGTGCATGTTTCTTACAAGGGTGATAAATTTTGAATGTTTCTACACATTCCATTGTTTGACTGATCAAATATCATTTATACTTTTTTCTTGTAAATATAGGATTCCTACTATATATTTCCTGCTGATGTGGCATATACATATATAAAAAAAAATACATGGTATTGCATACTACAACTTTTTTTTTATTACTATAAAATATTTAAAAAAATTTTATATGAACTCTAAAGCCAATACATTTCTTTGTTTCATTTCTCATTTTTAAAACTGATGACTGTTTGTTTTTCCAAAAATGGCGTGTCCCAAAAGTGGTGTTTCTCAAAAGTAGTGTCCCTAGAGTGGTATACCCCCAAATTATTGTTTTACAGAATTGGTCTCAAAAGTGATGTGTGTCATAGAAGGCATAATTGATGTCAACTGTTTTTTCATAAAAAAAGATACATCAGTTTTTAATGCAAATTTCTGGAGATTTTAAAGATATTTTAAACCTTTTTATGTGAATAATTTTTATAGAAATTTCTACTCAAAATCTTTTCTGATTGTTCTTTGATTTCAATTGGGTCCTTCAGATAAAAAAAATAAAATAGCAATAAAAACTGTGAAAAACACTAACAATCGTTTAAAATCTTATTTTATTTTCTATTCCAGATTTTCAAGACTCCATGTTTCAGTAATAATGATACTAATAACTAAATATTTAAAAAATCAATTTAACACTTTTTTTATACTAATTTTGATTTAATCAAGGATAAAAATTATTGAAATTTAATTTATATTTTCAGATATCATAACACCATTAGGATTTATTCAACAGTTAAAATTTATCAAGACATCACAGATTCATTAGGATTTATTCAGACAGTAAAAATTTGTTAAGACATCACTAGGAACAGATTCATTAGGATTTATTCAGACAGTAAAAATTTGTTAAGACAACAATAGGAACAGATTCATAAGGATTTATTCAGACAGTAAAAATTTGTTAAGACAACAATAGGAACAGATTCATTAGGATTTATTAAGACAGTAAAAATTTGTTAACACAACAATAGGAACAGATTCATAAAGATTTATTCAGACAGTAAAAATTTGTTAAAATAACAATAAGAATAAATTCATTAGGATTTAATCAGACTTTTTGTGCTAATTTTCTAAACAAAATTTAAAAATAATGGTTGAATAAATCTGTAATTATAAACCATTTATGATTGTAAAACAGAGTATGTCTATGAAAAGGTAATTTTCAGGAACATTTAAAATTAAATATTAAATTTAGTGACTAAATTTTAGAATTATTACAGAATATATAATTTTTTCTATACATAATTTATTATATATTGAGGCTATCAGAATATCTGTCTTTGCTACAAAATTGTGTAGAAAAGACAATATAATATTATGTTAAATATCCACTCTCCATTTATAAATTTTTTTTTTAATGAAGTGATTATATATAATTTTAGACTGAAAGAAATTTAATGAACATCATGACAGAAACACTAGTTCAAAGGTTTTTTTATGTAAAACTAGTTTTCGGAATGATTACTCAAAATAGGTTTTGTATTTAAATGAAAAAATTATATATTTTTTATACTTTAACAAAATTTTATTAAAAAACTCATATAGATAAAAAAAAAAAAGAAAGATTAGTCAAATCTTGTTAACAATCTCCTTTAACTTTTACATCCCTTTTTTGTAATTAAATGTTTTAAAAAGATTAAAAAGATTTTTTCATCAAAATGTTATTATAATTTTTTTGATGTGAAGTATTTATGTCAAATTAAATATCTTACTTAAAAAAAAAAGTTTAATACTTGACAGATGACAGCAATACTCCATATGACAGCAGTATTGCTGTCTTACAGAAGAACTATTAAACTAGAAAAAAAAAAACCTATAAAATTAGGTGTTTTTAATAAATTCGCAAATAGGCCTTTTGAAAATCCTGCTAAAAGGTGAAGACATTGCAAATAAACTTTTATATAATCAAGGTTTGTATGTGAAGCTATTTTTTTACTGAAATATTTAGAATTAAAAGTAGCCTGCTGAATTAAAATTAGGCATAACTTAAAATAAGACTTAAAAATTTTAAAACCATGGTAAACAAAAAAAAAAAATTATATATATTGAAACATTGTCTTAGAAATTAAGCTACACTCTACAAACTCTTCAAACTATGAAACAACTAACACTTATACATATTATACATTTCTGATTGATTGACACTTGTTTCAGTCCTCTAACTACTGCACTAGTTAAATGACTTTTTAAAAAAAATTATATATTTGTAAAATTTTTAAAAACGTTTTTGCTTTAGCAGATTCCAATGTTTCCCTTTAATTTGGCAAGGAATAATTTTATTGATTTTTTACTGAATAAACAGATTGTGGCTGAATATTGAACACCTAGTAATGGGTCATTCCGTGCCAAGTGGTGCAAATTTTAACGAGGTCCCTCATGGACCATCTCAAATTTTATTGAAATTTTTTGATTTTGTACATATATATGTTAAAAGCATGTTTTGAAAATTTTAGATCAATATCTAATATGGTTCTTGAGAAAACGCTATTTAAGTAGTGGGCTATTTTGCATAAAATTTCACTCTACAAGAAAAAAGTTTTTTTTCATCATTTTTAACAGCCAATAACTTTTGAACAATTTAGTTTTATACTTCAGTTATTATAAGATAGCAAGTGTGCTGTAAATACTTTGGAAAAAGAAAAAAATTTCAATTCTGGCATCTTAACTTTTTCCATAATGGCGGGCTGAAGTTGAGATTTTTGTTTTTAAAATAGTTTTTTTTGTGATTTTAATGATCTTAATCTTGAAAACTAATTAAAAGATTAATAAAAATCAAATTGCCTGCTGATCTACATGTGGTGGATAAACATTTTTAAAAAAATCAGTTGATTAAAGAGCTGCATTTAAAAGTTATAGGTCTCCAAAATGAGTCGAATCAAGATTTTTGTAAAATTGATCTGTGATGCAAAGCATCTGTTACCTAAGATGGCACTTTTTTTTTTTCATAAAACTTTTTATACGCATCAATTAAAGAGTGTTAATTTATAAAAACCAAAAAAATTAATGGGCGCTTATTTATAACCCCCAAAAGGTAGTCTCTAAAAGTCAGGTAAATTTTCCATAAAAAATTATTACTTTTTAAAAGTTAAGTTATTGTTTAATTTAATTCTATATTACTAGTATGTCAATATAAAAAGTAATAATAAAACCAAATAAATTGTTGTATTTTAGAACTAATTAATAATAAGTAATATGCCTGAGCTTTCTACTTGCTGTATTGGTAAAGCATTAAATAAACAGTGCTATCTATCTAAAAAAAGTAAACGCTACCAAGAACTGTCTACACTAAACCAAGAGCTTATTTCTTTGAGAAGCAAAATAAATCCCATAGATTTTATTTGTAGCTATCACGAGAAAGTTTACTTGTCGAGGTATGAGAATGAACATCGCAGGTATTGTTGTAATCCGTTGAACAAGCACGCAAAAAAAGTGAAAAGTAAGTTTCAATATTTAATACCTTAATCTTAATCTTAATTTAATAAAAATAACCTACCTAATAAATACCTAAATAAAAATACCTTAATAACCTACCTAATAAATACCTAAATAAAAATACCTTAATAACCTACCTAATAAATACCTAAATAAAAATACCTTAATAACCTACCTAATAAATACCTAAATAAAAATACCTTAATAACCTACCTAATAAATACCTAAATAAAAATACCTTAATAACCTACCTAATAAATACCTAAATAAAAATACCTTAATAACCTACCTAATAAATACCTAAATAAAAATACCTTAATAACCTACCTAATAAATACCTAAATAAATACCTAAATAAATAAAAAAAACAATATTTAATAATTATTTCCGTTATTTTTTAGATTCTCTTAGAGTTATCAGTCTTTCATATGCCAAAGATTTCGGTTTAATACCTGGTCAAAAAATTTGCACTAGTTGCAGAAAAGTTCTGAATTGCAAACATGATACAAAACTGAAGTCCAAGAAAAAGAAATTTATGTTGACAACCATACATTAAAAGAAGATCTTAATTCAAGTATTGCAAGTTTTGGATGCTCACCTCTCAAACTTGTTTCAAAAAAAGATAGAGTTGCATATGGAAAGCGTAAAATTGATAGCGTAAGAGCTCATACACAAAAGGCTGTTGCCAATGTGCTAGGTTTAGAAATAGCTGCACTTGGTGGAATTGAATCACCCTCAAAAAAATGTTTGAAAAAAACAAACACAGATTTAGACAATATTATGACTCAAATTAAGTCAAAATTTGAAAAAACATTGTCAAATTCTGAAAAAATCACACTTCTTACACTCACTCCAGACAGTTGGTCAATAGAGAAAACTCAGAAGTTTTTTTTGACTTCAAAAAGATCTGTAGTACAAGCCAGAAAATTAAGGAAAAAAAGTGGAATACTATCAAAACCTTCTCCAAAATTGGGTAGAATACTTAGCGAAGATGTAATTACAGAGGTTGTTCATTTCTATGAATGCGATGAATATTCAAGGGTTTGTCCAGGAAAAAAAGAGTTTGTTTCAGTTAAAGTAGATAGTATAAAGCAACATATCCAAAAGCGACTTCTACTAGTCAATATGAAAGAGCTACATATTGAGTTTAAAAAGAAATATAATTATCTTAAAGTTGGATTTTCAAAATTTTGTGAGCTAAGGCCCAAGTGGTGCATTCCTGTGGGTGGTGCTTCTGGTCTGCATGCAGTTTGTGTTTGCCAGTACCATCAAAATGTAAAGCTCCTTGTACAGAAAATTCCTGGAATTGCTGATTACAAAATCTTATAGAAATTAATGGTTTGTAGCATTGAAAATAGAGATTGTATGCTGCATAGCTGCAATAAATGTCCTGCTAAAAAGGTTTTGTTAGACTACATTGACACTTTGTTTACAGAAAATGAAATTAGTGAAGTTAACTTTTATCAATGGCAAAAATCAAATTACCAATGTACTTTAGTACCAGCAACTCTACCTTTAGATGAATTTATTGAAATGGTTTATGAACAGTTAAATAGTTTACGAGAGCATCATTTTATATCCAAAAGTCAAGCCACCTACTACCAACATTTGAAAACTAATTTAAAAGAAAATCAAGCTTTAGTTCTTCTTGACTTTGCGGAAAACTATAGTTTTCTAATACAGGATGCAGTGCAAGGTTTTCACTGGAATAACAGCCAAGCAACTGTGCACCCCTTTGTTGCGTATTTTAAAAAAGATGGAAAACTTGATAGTCAAAGTTATTGTGTTATATCAGATCATCTGAAACATGGAACAGATGCTGTTCATTGCTTTATCGGTAATGCTATTGATAAACTTAAACAATTACAAACATTTGAACACATTATCTATTTTAGTGATGGAGCTGCATCACAATATAAAAATTACAAAAATCTCATCAACTTATGCTACCATAAACACGATTTTGACATGACTGCAGAGTGGCACTTTTTTGCAACATCGCATGGTAAAAGCCCTTGTGATGGTGTTGGTGGAACAGTGAAACGTCTTGTTGCACGAGCCAGTTTACAATCACTAAACGATCCTATTGACACACCAAGCAAAATGTACAGCTGGTGTGTTCAACATGTCAAAGGAATATCTTTTTTTTTTGTTGACAAAGTTTCAATAGAAACACATACTACAAACTTCAATTTGGAAGAGAGATATTGTTCTTGTTCTACAATACCTGGGACACGAAACCACCACAGTTTTATCCCAATGTCACTTACCTCAATAAAAATAAGAAGAGTCTCATTTGATATTATTTGCACTAATGTGGATTTTTCTACTTGCAGAATTTTTATTAATAAAATTTCAAGTTACTCACCAGGAGAATATGTGGCCTGCGTTTACGATGCTTAATGGTATTTAGGAAATATTCTTAGTATTTCAGAAGAGCATCAAGATCTTAATATGAAATTCATGAAAAAGTCTTTATGTAACAAGTTCACGTGGCCATGCAGAGATGATCTTTGTTGGGTACCTCTGATGGATATTTTATGCAAAGTGCAATCTCTTAAAGTCCAGTCAAACAGTGGAAGATTTTATAGTATTGACTTAAAAGAAATCAATGAGATTATTTTATTATTTGAGAAATTTAACTTTTTGTAAATTTTATTAATTTTGTTTATTTTCTTAAAAACATTTTGTTTGTTTTTCATTAAAAAAAATATTGTATTATAAAGAGGGGAGGAGACAGAGGGGAGGGGACTTTATCTATTGGGATTTAAAAGTTCTTTATCTAAAGGGATTATAAGGCTATAAACATTGATATTTTTTAATTGATATTTCATAATAAATAACATTATATAATTCAATGCATTTATTTATTATGTCAATTTCAGAATTTTATGGAAAATTTACCTGACTTTTAGAGACTACTTTTTGGGGTTATAAATAAGCGCCCATTAATTTTTTTGGTTTTTATTAACAGTCTTTAATTGATGCGTATAAAAAATTTTATGAAAAAAAAAAAGTGCCATCTTAGGTAACAGATGCTTTGCATCACAGATCAATTTTACGAAAATCTCGATCTGACTCATTTTGGAGACCTATAACTTTTAAATGCAGCTCTTTAATCAACTGATTTTTTTTTTTAATGTTTATCCACCACATGTAGATTAGCAGGCAATTTGATTTTTATTAATCTTTTAACTAGTTTTTAAGATAAAGATCATTAAAATCACAAAAAAAACTATTTTAAAAACAAAAATCTCAACTTTAGACTGCCATTATGGAAAAAGTTAAGATGCCAGAACTGAAATTTTTTTTGTCTCCTAATGTATCCACAGCACACTTGCTAACTAAAAATAACTGAAGCATGAAACTAATTTGTTCAAAAGTTGTTGGCTGATAAAAATGCCAAAAAAAATCTTTTTTCTTGTAGAGTGAAATTTTATGCATAATAGCCCACTACTTAAATAGCGTTTTCTCAAGAACCATATTATATATTGATCTAAAATTTTCAAAACATGCTTTTAACATATATATGTACAAAATCAAAAAATTTCAATAAAATCTGAGATGGTCCATAAGGGACCTTTGCACCACTTGGCATGGAATGACCCTAATTTAAAAACTAAATCTTTAAAATATAGAAGTGCATCTGAATTAAAAAATGCATTTTGTTTCTTTATAAAAACATCCTTTAAATGTTACTTCAATCCAACCTACAACTTTTTAAGTCTTCTGTCAACCATTTCCTTGCACTTTAACTCTATTCCTTTTTTTCTAGTAACACCTAACTTAATAGTGGTTGCTTGCACCTTGTTGGGAGTGAATCGAATAAAAAATATATATATAATTTAATCAGTGGTTTACATTTATGTTGAGTTGAAAATAGTTTGATAACTGGTAGGAACAACGAAATGTAAAACATGTTTAAAATACAGTTAAAACTTGTTTTAATGTTGGTGTAAATGACACAGATCTAATTCTATAGATTTTTAATTTTATAAATTTGTTTTAACTAAAAATATTAATAATAATAAACAAACTTAACTCAAAATAAAAATGGTTTATAACAAGAATCTTTATACCTTTTGAATAACAGGTTGAAGTTTATCAACTGATAACTTTAGAGTTTTTTTCTTTCCTTTTTCAATTGCTGCTTCCGCAGATTCTAATGCCCAGCCTTTAATTTGACAAGGAAATGTTTTATTTATTTGTTCTTGAATATCATGAACAGAGTGTGGCTGAACACTGCACAACTGGTACAATAATTTAAAAATTAGCTCTTCAAGATATAAAAGTGCATCTGTATCCACTGTAAGTGTTGGTTGAACTTGCTTTTGTACCTAAATAACATAATCAAATAATCAATGTATCAAATTTAATAAATAATTCATAAATAAGACCCTTAAATTTGCTCTTGCAACTTAGAACCTTTATCTATTTTTAGATATTAGAATGGTTGAACACAATTAATATTAGTAATGGTAATAGAATTGTAATATTTTTTTGGTGTAACAATTACAATTTTTTTAAATATAATAAAATATCAAATAATAAAATAAATTATGGAACACGATGCAAGCATTGTATTAAAGACAGCTCATACAGTTTAAAATGCAGGTTACCAAAAATATTTATCTATTTGCACTTAAAAAATTCAATATAATAATAATAATTTAAATATTCAACAATCTTGCTTCTATTATTTCATTTGGTAACAAATTCCAATTATTACAAACGCGGTTGGTGAAGAAATTATATCATAGTAAACATGATTGCACGCCATCTCTTTCCAATCTGTATTTGTTGCCCTGAACTGAAGAAGGCGGAACAATCAAGGATGATGCCAATAGTCCATTTTTGTACCACTTATTTGGTCTATATTTTGCTTAAACCTGTATTGTTGTATAAGATCACCTCTTGCTCTTCTTGTCTTCAATGTTGTTCAACCAATTGTTTTTAGTCTTCAATATTGTTCAACCAATTGTTTTTAGTCTTCAATGTTGTTCAACCAATTGTTTTTAGTCTTCAATGTTGTTCAACCAATTGTTTTTAGTCTTCAATGTTGTTCAACCAATTGTCTTTTAAAGTTGTTCAACCAATTGTTTTTAGTCTTTTAAAGTTGTGGGACTAAATTTTGCTCTTCTTTGCACTTTCTCTTACTCGTTAATATCCTGTTGTAAATAAGGCTTCCATGCAAGTATTGTGAACTCAAGAAGTGGTCTCAAAAATGTTTTATATAATGATTTCAACATTTCCATATCAAAGTATTTTAATATACATTTAATTAGACTTAAAGTTCTTAGCGCTTTTGCCGTCGCTGAAGTCAATTGATCATACCATTCAGTCAGATGAATAATCACCTCTAAATCTCTTTTAACTACTGTTGTAACTAATTTATGCTCTTTGTCGCCATGGGTCATACTATAATATCATTTGTGGAATCTTTTTACCTACATGCATCACTTTGGACTTTTCAATGTTTAACTTAATCAACCAGATATTCGTCCATTTTACAAATATTATTCTGTAAAGACAGGTAATCTTCAACATTTTGTATAACTTTAAGTATAAGTTTACTGTCATCTGCGTATAATTTGCAATCTATTTTTTAAGAGATGATTCATTAACTCTTATAAATGCTTCTGTAATATTGCATGTTATAGATGATTTAGTACCATCACTATCGCATGCTTTGTTGACGTCCAGTGAATTAAGAATTGATGGTAGATCATTTTTAAATATCAAGAATAACAAGGGACCAAGCAGAGAACCTTTAGACACACCACTAAAAATCTCAAGCCACCATGACATGTACACGACATGTATTCACCAATCACAACTCTTTGCTTTCTTTCTTTTAAGTAGTAGACCCTTAATACCATGAACTTTACACTTTTTCAACAATCGTTTATGTGGAACTTTATAAAAGGCTTAAGCAAAATCCATATAAATCATATCTACTGCTTAACCTTTACTCATGCTTGCTGTTAAAATGTCTAATGCTTATAGGAAATTTGTTACACAGACTTTATTTTTTACAAAGTCATGTTGACTTTTTGACAGCAATCTATTTTTTAAAAGATGATTCATTATCGCTTCTATTATAAATGCTTCTGTATCTTTGCATGTTAAAGATGATTTAGTACCATCACTATCTTATGCTTTGTTGAGAACCAGTAAATCCAGTTTTTATTTAACTGTCACTTTTGTAACAACATTAATCCAATCCCATTTAAAAAAAATTTGAAAAGCATGGTTTAAACTCTTGAATTTCACCATGCTCTTTTACAAAAACCAATTGAAAACTTTTGTTCAATATATTAACAATCTTATGCCTGTGAGATGTAAGTACTTTTGCATAGTTTTTCATTTACTGATGTTTTTTGGGTTCTTTTTTGCATATTTGTAGAATAATCTCTGATTTTTTTGCATTATTTATAAGCTTTTTCTCATAATCAATAGTGGATGCTTTTAACTTGTTTTTCAGATATTTCAATTTACCAGCACTTAATTGGTTCCATAAATTTCTCTGTTTATATATTAAGCTTTAACTTCATCTATTATGCATGGGTCTTTTTTAACTTTTTGATCATATCTTTTCTTTGGAATATTCAGTTCACTCAACTCAATATATTTTTGTACAAAAGCACTGTAGCAATGGCCCATGTTTAACTCCTTAATTAATTCATACCAGTAAATTAAAACCAAGATTTATTTTTTCATAATCTCCTCTTTGGTAAATTTCAATAGTAATCTTTACTATTGCATTGAATAGCGATTGTGGCAACACCTCGAATGTCATATTTGAATTGAATTAATGTATTTTTTTTTCAATTTGTCTAAGCAATGCACCTATTTCATTGTCTGCAATCCTTTTATATTTATCTGTCATTATTAAATCAAATGTGTTTGTAGGTTCATGGTCAGATATTTGAATTCTTATGTATTTCTCCTATATATTGGCTTTATTTTCACTTTTAGAATTAAAATTTGTTAACTTAAACTTTTTTAACTATGATGTTGATTAAAGACTGGAAATTATTATCAGTTTCAACATCAGATATCTCCAAATTTAACTTAACTTAACTTAACTGCTAACATCACAAAGTAATTTATTTATTTTATCAGATCAACTTTTCTGAGTTCAAATGTAAGACTGAAAATTGGTGTAACAACAGACAGATGATAGTTATAAATTTGCAGTTTTTTAATAAAAAATATCTCCTAAAGTTATTAGTTAAAGTTAAAAATATCTCCACAATAGTTCTGACTAAAAACAATGCTAGTAGAGAGTAATCCATCAGTACAGCAACTCTTTTAATCGATCTGAGAAACATACCTTTGAGACAATTTGAGGGTTGACTAGGACATGGGCGCCTGTTACATTCTTAACTGTAAGATGTTTCTTTATTTTGACAGTTTGATGAGAGTAATAGAGATATCACAAACACAGGCCAAGTGTAAGCCATATGTAAATAGACTAAGACAATAAAATTTTCCTAAATGAAATCAAGCAGAATACCATGTAATGGTATATTGTTTTGTTATCCATATCTGCTTGATATGGATAACAAAATAATGCAGCATTACTGGTAGATATGTTTGGAGTGAGTGTTCGACTTGAGGTCATTTTGTAACGTCGCCCCAATAAATTTTACTATGAATTGGATTTTTGAGTTACTGCCAGCAATAATTAATGAATAACACTAGTACAAAATAGAACTGTTTATATGAAATAATACAAAAATAATAATGTAATCAGTATCTTTTATAAATCAAGTATAAGTAATCAAGCATAAGTAATCTTTTTTAAGTTAAGTATAAATAATATTTTCAATTCAATTTGAGTAACTCTAAAGGTAAAAAAAATTTAAACTACATTTAAATAAAAACTTTTTGAACCATAGCACTTAAGCTCCATAAAACACAAAGCTGTGATAAAGATCTAATTTTAGATCTTTATTATAACTTTTAATTTAAAATTATTAAAAAGCCAGAGATGTCTTCAATAATTATTGTATAAAGTAATATATTTTCAAATTACAAAAAAAAAAAAAAATTTTTGCTGCAATATGACAAATTTCACAAATCAGATAATAAAAATAACTATTCCTGAAACTGATTATTTGGCAGCAAAAGTTATTGATATTAATTTTAGTCAAACAAACTCTGCTGTCTTTAAAGTAGCTTCGAATTAAATGTTATTCAATCAAAATTTACTGTTAATGTTCACTTTACATTCAACAATTTGCGTTGTATAGTTTATTATACAGTTATGCAACACAAATATACTATAAATATATGTATACTTTAAATTTGAAGATTTTTTCATCTTGTTACTAAATTGTTAGTAATTAACTGTTTGTAAAAGCATATCTAGACATATTCGATCTTTCTCCAGAACAATATGGGTCTTTAAACAATATTTTAAAGAACGTAGCAATTCAACTTTCTTTTAAAATAATGTCTTAAAAATTGTCCTGTAACATACTTGCAAACTGTTTTGTAACATACTTGCAAACTACTATTCATTAAGAGTTTTTTTGTAAAACACTATAACAATTATTATTTAAAAAAAAATTTAATATATTAGTATATATAATAATATATGTTTCTTGTTCACATATGTTCTTGTTCATATATGTTTCGTTGAGTCAATTTCTATCCAAAATTTTTAAAAATAGGGATAACAGATGCAGTCTTTCACAGGAAGACATGTGATCGCACGCCTTTATATGACTAGGCAAATTATATTTTGCCTTGACGATTTGACCGCGGCTTTTAACATATTTTCAAAACTTTAAAATGCGCTACAAAAACTTAATTAAATTTATCTATAAAAAAACCTTTAAAAAAGAAAAAAAAACTTAACGAAAGAGGAAATACTTAACCAAAGTTAAGTATTTCCTCTTTCGTTAAGACTTTTTTTAAATATAACGAAAGAGAAAAATACTTAACTGAAGCAAAAACAAACAAATATATATACATATATATATATATATATATATATATATATATATATATATATATATATATATATATATATATATATATATATATATATATATATATATATATATATCATATACATATACATATACATATACATATATATATACATATATATATATATATATATATATATATATATATATATATATATATATATATATATATATATATATATATATATATATATATATATATATATATATATATATATATATATATTCTCAAACATATGGCTTTTTTTTTCAAAGAAATTTTGTTTATTTTTTCAAATGTATTAATTATTTCTATATTCGTTATAAATTCGTTAAAGAGATTTTTGTTGTAGTAG